TATAGAGGGAACAGCAGCAGGCAAAGAGGGTGTGACCTTATTCAATTCCCTGTAATACACGGTCACATGCCAGGAGCTGTCTGGCTTTTTCACAGACCACACTGGGGAATTAAAAGGACTATGAATGGGCTTTATGATGCCCATCTTCTCCAATTCCTGTAGAGTTTCTCTAATTCCTTTTGCCCCCCCCAGGCAGTTTATACTGCTTAGTATTTGTTATCCGCCGACGTACAGGCAGAGCTACAGGTGGGTGCTGAGCATGTCCCCTCAGAGCTGCCTTTACCACATGTACCCTCAGTCTGAACTCACCTGCAGTGGTCTGTAACCACAGGCCCTGCAGGATATTGACCCCAAAATACATTCAGGGATGGGAGAAATGCACACAGTATACTCCTTTGGGGGTAAACACCCTATCCCCAATGGGATTTGGGCTTTCTTCCCTCTAATTGCCTTACCCCCATAGCCATCTATCACAGCAGGGGGCCCAGGAAACGCTCAGAGTTGCTATAAATCAAAGAACACTCAGCTCCCGTGTCCACCAGCACCAGGACACATTGTACATTCACGGGGCACCAATGAATTGCTAAATCTACATGTGGCCTCCAGTCCCCATCATGTCCCCCAAGATGGGGGCCTTGACTGCAATGCCCAACTGTCCTTCTGTGGAGGAGAGGGCCCAGGTAGAGCCTGAGTACTGTCCCCCAGGAAGTCTTGCAGGGACACGGGCCAGACATGGAGCTTTGCCTCTGGCTTCTGTGTGTTGGACCTCAGAGGCTGGAACCGCTGCTCTGGCTTTAATTGGTGCCACAGTTCTAAGTAGATCCTATTCTGTTTCCCATCGAGTTTTTCTTAACCTACCCCTGCCTTTATCAAATTAACCCACATCTGGGTCCTCCAGACCTTCATGGGGCCCTTTGCACCGCTCCTTGCAGTCATAGCCCGTACTTCCTTCTGTGCCTTTATTGTTTCAACCTCCCCGAGATCTGCTAAAGTACGAGTAGCCTTACTTATGGGTTGCCCTATGTGGGGGGCAAGAATAGTCACTGGGACCCAAAGAGAGATGGGGGAGCTGTATGGAGCACCAGATTTCTCATTCCTATGGTGAACAACTCATCGGGGCCCTGAAGGTCCACATTATAGATATTTTTCACACTCAGTTCCCATAACACCTGCTGGAACTCTGCATACGTTTTCCAGCTAGTGGGTAAATGTGCTAAATCACCCTGAGTAGGCCAAACTGCCCTGATGGATGCCATCTGCCAATACAGAAGCACCCGAATCCCTGAGGTGTGATGGGCACTTTGCAACTGCTGCCCGAGGGAAGGGTAAGTCATTAGGGGAGCCAGTCTACTCATTTCAGAACCTGACATAACAGTGTTTTCCACCTCCATATCCCAAAGATGTAAAAGTCATGTAGGCAGAGGTTTCAGCTGAAACTGGACGCTCATGTCCACCAGCTCATCCTGGGAATGGGGGCAGAGCATGGAGCGCTCCACAACTCGCTGTTGCTGAGTTTTTACTTTCTTAATTACAACCGGGCAGGCCTTTAATATGGGAAGGGCTGGTGCCTCGGACAGTGGCCTTGGCAACAGTTCAGCCCTCAGCCTCACCCCCTTATCCTCCCCCATTTATCTCCTGTACCACCTCTGGGGCAGAAGGCACGTGGTGGGCTGAAATAAAACAGGAAGAGGGAAAAGGATTAAGACTACAAAGCTGAACAAAATAGCAAAGAGACAAAGACATTTACCCCTGCAGGTGGAGGTTGGAGAGTTCTTGTCTGTATCATGGAAAAGAGTTCAAAGAAGTGCAATTGGCTTGTGCAACAATAAAATTTATTGTATCTGATACAATATATCTGATTTGATCAAACAATATGTTTTTGAGACGATTTATTTTTACCGAGTCTCTTCAGTGTCCAATTCTGCTTTTTTTGTGTACACATCTGCTCACAGAGTGTGATATTTAATTAGCTACGCAATCACATCGAGTCCTTGGGATTGCCCAGGCAACCCTCTCATAGGCCTTTCCTCCAAGTGGATCCATATGTCCACTGGATCCATCTTTGCATTGCCTACTTGGAACACCTCTGACTGACACAGAACACACTACATTTATTGTAGGAAAAAAATTATTGCAGTAGAAAAATACATAACAACTGAAACAAAAAAAATCAATTAAACTTCCAGGAGATTTCCTGAGATCCGAATCCATATTAAGCATGATCTTTGCTGCCTACACAGGCACCTTCAGTGGTGAGAGATGTTCAGAAAGAGGAGCCCCAAATGGTGCAGTATTCTTAAATTTAAAACAAAAGCTCTGTTCTCTAGGATATATTAAGCCAGGAAACTTAGTATATTAATATAGAAATATTAAAACTCCATTATGTGAAATTGGAAAAAAGGAGGAGGAGAAAGAAACTTTGCCTACTAACTAAACATTGTAGTTTTGGTGAAGGGTAAGTTTGTGAATTTTAGAAAAGTTTTATGAAGACTGATACAGATAGGATTGTGGATTAACTGTCAAGTAACCAGAACATTCAAGTAACTGGATCCCAAACCAGGAGCCCCTCGACACCACAAATTGCCAAATAATCCCAGAGATTGGTGCGAAGCTGGGCCAGCCCTGTTCTGTGGGGATCTATTGTAGGCCTCGTTTCTAGGCCTTTCCTTGGTAGCCTGGCAGGGTGGGGTGGCAGGAAGGTGACTCTGGAGAGTGAAGCAGGTGTCCTCTTTGTGCCCACGTTTCCCAGGCAAACTGTGGCGGGCTGCAGCATTGCTGTGTCCACGGTCTGAGACAGCAACTGCATCACACAGGAAGCTAGCGCAGAACCACCTGCCATAGGTCTCTGCTTTGTGTTGTAGTCAAAACTGGAACCAGGTGTACAAAAGTCCTGGGTTTTGCAGGTGGGAGAACTGTTAGGTCATTATCTGGAGAACTTGATGCTTCCAGGATTTCTGGAAGGCAGTTTAAGGCACACTCCCCATGCTTTTAACACACTCCCTGGCCTTCCACACCTGTACAGTTCAACAGTGGCAATACTGCCCTCTAGGGATTGTGTAGGAAATTACAAATGGGGTGGTGGAGGTGTGGAGGGGTTGTCAAAACAAAGCCTACAGCCTATTTTACACATAAACACAATTTATCTTTTATGACTTCAAGCTACAATAATTCTATGTAAATTAGGGAAGCTTGTACTTCCACTTGGTTGGAATTTAACTGAGAGTTATTTACTAATACAATGAAGCTCATAACCAACACTTTTTCTGTATCTGTGGCTGTCAAATTTGAGTGCGTCTATGAATAAGCACAAGCGTCAGACTACTTGGATCTTCTGGTGTGTCTGAGCATTTACACACTGAAAAACATATTACGATGACTCACTTTTGCTTATTCTTTATGTTACTGTTAGGACACTAGAGTGATTAAAATATCTGCATAGGTAAATTGTATCTGTGCATTTCATTTTAGGATTCTATAGGGGAGAGCCATACAATATTTATTATAAAAGGGGGCCGTTGGTCTCATAGGGTTGAGAAGTGCTGTTCAAATTGAACATCCAGCGCCCAGCAATTCCACCGTGTAGGAATAATATGGAAATGAACTGTGCTCTGGAACGTTACTGCTATGGGCTCTGCCCCCGCATGCTGTCACGACTTCTCGTGCGCATTCTGCTGCTGTTACACAGGTGCCCCAACCTCAGTCCTCCACTCAGAGTGTTGGTCCTGAGCTAAGTCAGCTTCTTGGAGCAGAGCAGGCCAGGTGATCTTTGTTGAATCCTGGAAAGTTAGGTGCTGGCTTCAAGGCTATGCACTTCTGAGGCCTAGGAAAGGTGGCCCTCTATGAGAAGCTGTCTCTGAATATCCTGTTCCAGTCCTGTATCCTGCTTAGAGTATCATCTTCCCTTCACCCAAGCAGATGAAAAAACAGAGAGTCAACACATTCTGTTTGATTCCAAAAGCTAAATAAACTCTTCAGTAAACCCAATTTACAAAGTCTTCCTCACAGACAGAATATTAGTTTGATAAGGAGTTGGCCCCTAAAGAAGTGCCTCTGAAGCAAGCCCAATTGCCTGCAGAAAAGCAACAGATACCTGACTTCACTGCTGCAGGCAGGACAAACAACAGACTTAACATGTATGGGGCCTCTAGGTGGCTCCGTGTTTAAGTCAAGCCTGAATGCATTGTAACACTGCAGCTGCCGCCTCCTGCCACGACTGGTGCCCATGTCTGACCAACATTCTAGAAGGAATGTAGGTTTGTCCCCAGTGCAAGTGGGAATGTGATTCAGGCTGCTGGGCTGAGGCTTGCTGTGTGTTTCAACTGCTCCATCTACCGAGACAGCCAGGAAATGCAGAAGATGCCTGAGAAGGTTAAGTGGTGGAGAAAGAAGAGAAACAGATTGACAGGACAACTATTATGGTCCGCATATTGAGCTTGTTGTTCATTACATTTATGATGCAGAGAAACCCATATAAGGAAAATATTATCCCCATTTCACAGATTAGGAAACAGGCTCAGAGAGCTTGAATTACTTTGCTCAAGTTCATGCACTTGTTAAATAACACACTTAACTTTCAAGCACTTGCACCGACTATAGTAGGGAAAGCTATGTTGTCAATCAGCCCCGAGGTTAAATAATTTCCCAAATAATGTCTTATTCAGTGCAGAAAGCCTTTGACGTAGGTGCTATCCTGAGTTTTAGAAATTTGAAACCTGAAACTAGAGACATTAAGTAGCCTATGTGAGGTTGCAAAGTCACTCAACAGTGGAATTCTATCTGGTCCAAAGGTTGGCCCTTATAAATGGAGAGCATAAGGTGACAAATAGAGGCAAGATAAACCATAAATAAGGACCACCTATACTGATCTGGAGGTACTGCACCTCTCACCATTTCCCAAGGAGCAGATTTGCCTTGCTTTGCACAGCACCTATAGAGAAGAGGTGTGTAAATGTAATCTTGGTAAAGAGAACATTTTGGAAAGGAAGCTCATGACTAAAATAGGTTCCAATGCACATTGTTTTATTGCTGAGAAGACTAAATCTATAATTTTGCTTTTCATAAAAAATGAATTTTCACACTTCGCATTTGCTTGCAATTAAAAAGATAAATTTCACATTAATTCATATACTTGTTCTCCTCATACAAATGAAAAATTTACAGGAAAGTCATCTTACTTCCCAACATCTCCTCACATTATCCAAATACACTCCCCAGAAGTAAAAGGTATCTGTTGAGATCTTTTCTACCTATTCACTTTCCTACCTTGAACATGTGGTATGTTTTATGTGTATCTTTACACAAACAATGCAAAGTCTTCAAATTGCATGCCGTCCACCCCCAACCAGCCAACTTAACAATACAATAGAAAACTCTGTCCATGTAAGGGCAGGGAAAGTTTTTTTACAAGTATTCTATAAAATGAGTATATTACAGTTTACACAATTATTGCCCTAGTAATGGACACTTGGTTTGTTTTCAGGTTGTTTGGTATTCTAAACAATGCTGTATTAAAAGATCCCTGTACATAATTCTTAACGCACACATGTAAGGTTTCAAGGAGAGACTTGCCAGGTCATAGGGAATGCACATTAAAAATAATGATAGAGCTAAAGTGCCCTTCCAAAACATATATACTTACCAACAACATGTGCCTTTCCCTTCGTCTTCACCAACTCTTGTCATTACCACTTTTAAACTTCGGCATTCTCTTGAATGAGACTATCTTAATTAAAAAAGATTGCATTTCCCTGATTCTTAGTGAGTCTGAGCATCTCATGTTTATCCATCAAGCTTAATTGCCCATTAAGCCTTTCTTTTTACAAAACTGTCCTCTTATCATTATATGGGAATTTCTCCATTTAAATAAAAGTATTACAGTAGATCTAATTTGTACATTTCAGGTAGTCAAATTTAAAACTTTTCCTTTATGGCTTTTAATTTTTTATGGGACAATTAAAAAGTCTTCATATACAGTAAGGTCATTACATATAGGTTCCTTTTTATATAACAGAAAAATAAAAAATTTTATAAAGCATTTTCTTTTAATGCTTTTGAGTTTTTATGTTTCTGTTTAATCTAACTGGATTTAACTTGTGTTAGTGGTGTGAAGTAAGGACTAAACCTGGTTTTTCTATTAGTGAGAATGCTTGATATTTTGACCTGGGTGATAGCTACATGAGTGTGTACACACATCGAGCTATACACTAAGGTCCATACATTTTATTGTATGCACCTCAATACAAACAAAAAACAAAAAGTAAACTTAGTTTTCCTAATCGAAAGTCTATATTCTAACATTAGGTAATGGTCTACCCAATGATTTGAAATGCCAATTTTATTATATAGTAAATTTCAATACATATATAAGTCCATTTCTGAGACCTAGTCTATCCATGATTGATTTTTCTACTTGCTCACCTATTGGTATAAAAAAATACTACGCTTTTAATTTGGTATCATTATGTTAATGTTTTAATATTTGATTGGGGAAATATTTGCATATTTTTTATTTTCAAAATTGCATGGCTAATTTTGTGGTTTTACTCTCCTTTAGGAATTTTAAGATCAGCTTGTCAAGTTCCAAGAAAATCCCATTGAAATATAGTTTGGGGTTGTTTTGAACTTCTGTTTTAGTTTTGGGAAAACAGAAAAACTTGGAATATTAAGTCTTACTGAAGGACCTGGTGTATCACCATTTGTCATTTGTTTTTGAGTGTTTCTTAGGAAGGTTGCACAGTTTCTACATCAAATTCTCATACCTTTGTTAGGTTTGCTCCTGTACCCTTTACAGTGTTCCCTGCTACATTAAATAGAATCTTTTAAAAACGATGTTCTAATTGCTAATGGCTGGCACATGGCAAAGCCACGGATATTTGCATTTTGATTTTATATCTGCTCACTTTTTTGAAACTTATCAGTCTTGTTTGTTATGATCTCTTGGGTGTTTTGAGATTACATGTTTTACAAATATTGGTAGTTTTGTCTATTCATTCCTGTATTTGTATTTTTGGATTTCCTGGTATTCTTCAGTTTTACTATAATGTATGTATGGATGTGTGTCTTTTCTATGTAATTGCACTTTATTTGGCTTCCTGAATCTGAGAAGTGATGCCTTTCAACAACTTAGGAAAAATTCTCAGCCATTTTCTCTTCAACTATTGCTCTGTCAACTTTCTTTCTAATACTTCCATCTAGAATTCCATTAGTTATATTTTGGTCTTTGCCATATTGCCCCATATGTCTATTTCTCCATATTTCTCATGTCTTTGTCTGCATTCTGCATAATTTCTTCAGCTCTCTCTTCCAGGTCTGCTGTATCTTACCTGTTGTTTTAACCAGTCATCTCATTTAAGCATAATGATTATATCTTTCATTTGTGAGAGTTTTCTTTTCCAAATCTCTCTGATTGAACTTGATAATCTCATGTTTCTCCTCTTTTCAATGCCTTTTTTCTTAAATTGTATTAAACATACTTATTTTATATTTGTGTCTAAAGTTTCCATGTCTGGGTTCTGTACAGATTTCTCTCAGCACTTGATTGTTTCCATCAATGCTCATTCTTGTTTCCTGGTGTGTTTAATGAATTTTGACCAGGGGTTCATATTTCTTGGAAAGTTATCCAGGGGACTTTTCTTTGAGGACTGGGTTGAAACTATGTTCATCCAGAGGGATTTGCATTGTCTGCTAGGTACCTGAGAACAACACTATCAACCTGGCACCGTTTTAAACCAAATTTCATCGCAGAGTATTTTGCACCACAGAGGTAGTTTACAATCAGATGCGATGACTACATCTTGACTGGTTTTCCTCATGGGCGCTTTCTCTGCTTCATTTGTCCACAGGGCAGGCTTGTGGGAGGGGACGTCCAATCCAGTTGCCCCCGCTTTCACTCATTTGCCAAGGTTGACATGACAAACCCCAGAGACTGGGTGGCTTAAACAGCGGAAGTTCTTCTCTCACAGTTCTGGAGGCTAGAAGTCTGATATCAAGGCATCACAGGGTTGTTTGGTGAGACAGAATCTCTTCCCAGGCTCCCCACTAGCTTCCAGGGGTTTGCTGGCCACCTTGGGCCCTCTTTGGCTTGTAGACACACCACCTTGATCTCTGCTTTCATCCTCATATGACAGTTCGCCCTTGTGTACACATGTCTGTGTCCAAATTTCTCCATTTGTAAGGACACTAGTCATATTGGAGTAGGGCTCACCTAATAAATCTTGTTTAAAATAATCACACCTGCAATGACCTTATTTCCAAATAAGGTTACTTTCTGGTATACTAGGGGGGGTTAGGGCTGCAGTATATAATTTTAGGGGGTGGGCATCGTTAAATCCATAACACCCCTGCTCTGCCCAGGCTTAGTTTCCAGTCCACGTGTTCACGATCCAGTAAAATGGAGTTTCCAGGTGACCAAGGGGTAGCAGATACTCAGGGGTAGATGCCAACTCAAATTCCCACTTGCCTCACTGGAGTTGTCATATTTGATTGCCAAATAATTCTCTTAATTTCATATCAGGTCGATCAGCCATTTAAAAGGGTGTTTTAAAAAAATTTTATCCCTCATGTTAAGGTTCACAAAAGGCAGGTTTCTGAATATCTACTTCAAACTATTCTTGGAAACAGGAACTGTTTTGGGATAAGGTGACTGCAGAAGTCCTACACGACTTCTTGGAAAGAAATAAGAATTTCAAATGATTGCTTAAATGTGATCAACATATTTGAATATATCTCCCAAATATTCCTCATCCTAAAATATGAAAGAAATGAAAACTAAACAAAATAGAATCCTGGCAGGGGTTCTATATCTGGAAAAGAAAATACTCAGCAGTACTGTGCATTCTGCCTGAACTGGTGAGAGGCAAACATAAATTTGGAACTATTCAAATTAGTGTTCTTTGCTCTGATACATTTTAAAAAATGTTTCAAGTAATCCTTCAACAAGTCTGCATCCTATAGGCAAACTGCAGGGCTGCAGAACAAAGACTATCTGTCCACACAGTCGATCCGACTGCAACGCTAAACTTGATTTAATCAGTTGGTGCTTATGAAGCCATGGTAGTTGTGCTAATTTTCCAAGTGGTACATGTCACAGAGAGGATCTATGTTCACATCTGCCAAAACAGTTTCACAGTAACTCCATTCTTTAAAAAGAAATTGACTTCTTTCTTTCCTACCTCTTTCACAATTGCATAGCTAAACCTTAGCCTCTTTCCCAAGCTCCTGCTTCCCCTCCCAACTCCACTGCTTGCCCTTCGATTATGCCTCTGCAGAGCCTCCTCTAAAGGACCATTGCCTCCCGGTCCCACCACCTTTTAATATGCATTCTGAAGGACTCTTTCTATTTTCATTCACCTCTCTCTTCAATTCTGCTTTGGGTAGAGTACCTTGACACATGTTAATTATTTTTGTCTGGTTACACTTCCTCTGGTCAAAGAGGAGACCAATACTGAAAGAAGCCACCTACATATTACTTCTAGTTATAGTCTAATGCAGGGGTTCTGAAAGCGTGGTTCAGAGAACTAAATAGAAATGCAAATCTTCCAACCCCAGCCCAGACCTACTGAATCCCAGGCTCCGGTCCTGGGGTGCAGCAGTGTTTCAGGAAGCCCTCCAGGTGATTCTGATGTACACTTATGTTTGAGAAGCAAAGGGCTGATGTCCCCCTTTTCTCCTGTCCTCTTACTAGGCGTGTCCCTCTCAGATGCCTCTGGGGATGCTGACAAGCACTGGAGTCTTCTGACAAAAGTGGGAGCTGGGGAAAGCAAATTCCCAAACAGCAAGTATGCAAGCACTTAAACTGCAGCATTTAACTGCCTTCCTTCCAAGCTTAGAGGTTTGGAGGGGAAGAAAAGCATGTTTAAGGACAAGCAGCCACTCAATGCTACTCAATACCACAGCCAAAGAAAGTAAAATATCACTAGTCCCCATCTTTTCAGAATAGTATTTAAAAGTATAAAAGGGGGCTCTGATAAAAGAGCCTGAAAGCTGCTGGGGTACACCCTGTGTTCTAGGCCTTGCCTGGTGGCAGATGCCATGTGGAGAGGCCGGTGCCCACCTCTGTGGTGGAAGGGGGCTCAGCCATCCCCCGACCATGTCAAATGGGTTCTCTGTAGGCGAGCAGATTTTGTTACCAGAAAGAGTAACCGACCACAGAGTTCTCCTTTTACCACTGGAGATGCTGTGTTTGTTTACAGGAAACCAAAGTTTCAAATTCATTTAGAATCAGAAGTTCCTGAGTTGACCAATGGGACAGGAAAAAAACGGAAAATATTTGGAATCTTTTCCTACAAGATCCAGAGTTCCACTCCGCCCAGGTTCCTTTTGTTCAGGGCCAGAGGGAGTGGAGAGAAGCTGGCACAAATTTGTGGGGCCTGCTGGTGTGGAAAGGGGCCTTAAGCAAGTTCCGTCTAAAGCATTTTAGTTCAAAATTTTTTTCCTTAGGGACTGAAGCTAATCCTAGTGCTTTTTGCCTCTGGCCAAGGGGATGGTCAGGAAATGACTATGACAAATCCCCAAACAGATCAGCCCAGCAGAAAATTTTAGGGGAAAAACCTTGCCCAGAAATGGCAGCGCAGGGCATACAACTCAGCTTCTTCCACAAATATCAGGTCCATTATGCAAGGAAGGAAATCAAAGAGTGAAAAACAGAATGGGATTTCATTTCATCCAAAGTGTATGGCTGTTTTCCAGGACAGAGTCAGTTTTGTAAAATAGGGACTGCGTGAGAAAGGGGGGCTCGGAGCATCTCCCCATTGACAGCCACCTGCAGCCCAGGTGGGCGCTAGGCTGTGACCTTTACCTTAGGACAGATAATGTTGCCATGTGATAACGAGCAAACGCCTTTTGAAGATGCTAATCTTCATGTGATTTTGAAAGGTCTTTTATAGACATTTTCATTTTCAAACAGATGCAAAAGTAAAGGGAATATTATAGTGAACTCAGTTTTTTACAGTTATCAACTCCCTCTTGGACAATCTTGGTTTATCTATATTCCCACCCACTTCTGTTACACCATGGGATTATTTTAAAGCCACAAAGAACAGATACAGTATTTTAAGTGATTTTTAAAAACAATTTTAGAAATCATAGAACACATATAAAATGTTTTCATGGTGTCATGGACCGACTGCCACAGACTTATGAGTCAGAACAAGACAGATCTGGCCAAAAAAATTAATTCTGCTGTTATATCCTTCCACCCCTCCATCTGCCTTCTTCCAAAGGGAGTCACCTCAATCAAGAATAATTACGGAGATATCCGGACTTCCCCCGAGCCAGGAGCATCATCTCAGTTATGGGCCTGAGGTCCAAAAACTGTGACTCTTTGCAGGCAAATCCACACATGCATGTGTTTCTCCCTCCTGTTTTGAAATCAAATGACCTCAACATGCGGTTTGCCATGCACATCTCTCATTTTTCACATCCCCCGGCACATGAAGGAAATCTCTGCCTATGTCTGGGTTTCCTCACATGCGTTCCCTGAGGCAACATTAGTTGGGAAATACCAGAATGGTTACAGCTGAGATGTCACTTTTCTGAAAACAGTTCTGATGGCCAACAGAGTTCTGACGGCCGGTGCTGATGGCGATAGGATGCTCTCCGTCACGCCCAGGTGAAGGGTCGCAGCTCGGTTTTCAGATCCACAGCGTCTCGGGCATTTGCATGGGATTGGGTTGGATCCATGCAGACTTAAAGATAAAAAGGTGATATCCGTGTATAAATAAAAATAATTGAAATAGAACCCTGAGTAAGTAACTTTGAGGTGGGCTTGAAAGCCCTGATTTAGAAGTGCTTGTCTGTAACTGGTTTACTGAAAACCCTATATTCCTTGGAGCTAGAAAGCAGTTTCTACCTTTCGTTGGATCCTCCTGTCCTTTTTGGTTGTGGCTCCTTCATGGAATCCTGGCCGAATTCTAACTTTCTAGTTACGTTTGGGATTTAAGATCAAGTCCTGTTCATTTAAAACATTTTAACCTTGAACTTGATTTAAATCGTGGCTCTTCCCTGCTTCCCAACTCTGGCATGGGCAAAGGCTGCGGGCCTGCCTGGAAGGGGGCAGGGGTCCGGCCCTGAAAGTCCTCCACCCTCTGCCTCCTGGAGGCAGCTCCTGGAGGGTTGGAGGGAGGCAGGAGGCATAGGGCTGGTTTGAGTGACTTCCACATGCCTAGGTGGGGTGGGATCCCTGTCATTAGGCTCCCACCCCTCTTGCCTCTGTGCTCCTTCACATGAAGGCCCCCTGGCACACATTGCTGGGGGGCTGTCCCCATCCTCTTCCCAGGGACCCTAAGCCATGGTCCCTTCAAGCTCTGTAGGAGAGGCTATGTCTCCCTCCAGGCCTCTGATTTCACCAGGTGTTTGTCTCTATGTGTGGGTCCCCTCTCTCCAGGGCACACATGTCAAGCACCCCTCTCTTCTTCCCCATGGTGGTAGGGATGTAGGTAGAAAAGCAAAACAAACCCACCCTTAGCTCCTCAAGCATCCTCCTGAGAACCTCGCTCCTGGGCTTGTCCATGTGGTAGGGACAATGCAGTTCTCCGGGTTCTGCAGCTCAGCCCACATCTGGCCAGAGAACAAGCTGCCCTCTTCCATTCCTAGAAACACCACACATTGCTAAGGGTCACCTTCTTGCTTGGCTTTAGGGATGGGAAACTCCTCTCCTTATCCCCAGGCATGGGGATACACAGGCATCCAGGACAACGTATCCTCTATGAGGCTACCTATACCTCCCTCTCCCCTGTTCTCTTTGCCCACAGCCTGGGGTTCAGCGGAGGGAGGTGGTGGGGGCAGAGTCCTGAACGGCAGCTGCTCACCAGGCCCTATGGGGAGATGGCTGCTGCCTGACTGATGGATGGTGCTCCCTGTTGAATGTGGGGGTCCTTCATACATTTCATCCTCAGCTTTGGGCCAAAACATAGTTTGGTTCAATAGGGGAATTCCATTTCCTGGACAGGCCTTGCAGCTCACTAAACCCACCTACAGATACATACTGAGTGCAGATGAGACAGCAGCAGGAGTACGATCGCGGCCTTGTTTTACAGCCCAGTGTGTACAGGTGGTTGCTTTTCCTTAAAAGGGGTGAGAGTTGGGACAGGTGGTGTCATCTAGGATGAAGACTCCAGTTTCAAACTGCAAAATAAAGATCCTTGGGGAAATTCTGTACTGAGAATAACAGGTGATGGGGCTTCAGTGTGTATTGACACAGGCCCATGATGTCATTCACTAGACTGTAATCCCATACATGCAGGGACCAGGGTTGGTCTTGACATTTCCAGGGCATACAGTGTATGCCACTTAGGGGGCAGTCAATATATACTGTTGAATAATTGAATGAACAGAAGTGACTGAGGTCACTAGTGGCTATAGCATCAGCAATTGGTTGCCTCCTGTGAACACTTTCTGAACTCTTATTGTTCCAGAAGCCCTGAAGATGGTTAAAAGTAAAAATTCCTGCCCTCAAGAAGTTTATGATAAAGAGTAGGAGACAGACTGGTACAATTACCTACCAATAAAGCCTCCCAATTCCATCAGGAGAAAGCAAGGGCTCTGTCTTTGCGGCCAGCAAGGAGTGGGGCATGGAGAAGCCCCTGGCACAACTCCTGCCTGGACACAGCCTTCATCCAAATTGTTTCAAGTGAGGCTGAATCCATTCCTTCATGGTGCCTTAGTATGACATGGGGTCACCCAGTCCTTCCCTCCTTTGAAGCCCCTCTCATGGAGCCAGGATCCCCACTACCACCCCTTGGTGTTCAGTGACCCTGGAGCAACTCTCCCCTGAGAACAGTAACCAGATTCCTTGGTCTCACTGGGGCCTTTTGGAATCAAGTAAAAGGCAAAAAAGAGAATGAACTGCCTGAGGATGGGAGGCCTGTGAGCTGCCCACATACCTGAGCCAAAAGGGTGTTGGAGGCAGCATGGCTGCAGCCCCCCAGAAATCAGAGAGCCAAGCCAAGGGAGACCCAGGGGCAAGAAGTGGGTGTTGATCACTCAACACAGGTTCGCTAAGAGAAAGTGCTCCCCCACGCAGAGTCCTTGGCAAACGGGTGCCATGTAGCTAGTACATCCGGTTCCCTGGGGCTGCTTTCATTGATTTGGAACACCAGATCAAATCATATCAATCCAAAGGCTTTGATCCTACCTCGTGTGAATATTTACATGTAGTGTGGGTCAATCGGGCGGGTCTCAGCAGCCATCAGTGCCCTCGAATAAAGCCTGAAAGAAAAATGTCCTTGGCTGCTGGCCGTGGGAGGCTGTTTGGAAGGGGCCTCTTTTTGAAATGTTTTCCAGCTGTTATTTCCTTTCTGAATAATCTGAGTCTAATTCAATTTGTGGCACCTTTCTCTTTCCCAGATTTTTTTCAGAAGGAAAATCACCCTCATCTGGCTCTCTGCAAGCACGTATACGTTCCGCCGGTTTTGGCCGAGACTCTCACTGCCTTGTAAATAAGCGACCCCATGGGTACAGGGGAGAAATACTGCGCATTACATAGCCTTTCAATCGCATGGCCTGGTGGCAGTCGTGCAAGATGCTGCATATTATCTCCAGAACGCTCGGGGTAGAAAGGTCGACAGCCGTCTCCACGCTGACTCAGGGCCGATCCAGCACATTATTGTGTTGCTGTGGGAGAGTCAGGCAAGGCAGCAAGAGCCAGGAACGCCCAGGGATTATAGTTTTTACAAAAAAACCCAAACAAACCCAAAAATAACAAAACTTGGCTTTGGAGACAGTTCCATCCTCATATATCATAAAAACTATTTATAAGCAAAATATGACTCCACAGAGAGGACTTCCCTTCTGGTTTAATCAGTTCCCCACCCAGCTCCCATCCCCAGCATGGTTGACAATGATGTTAGAGACAGAAGATGTTACAAAGCCACAAAAAATAGACATAAGCAGTGAGAATTCCAAGCCCAAGTTGTCACCTGGCCAGAATCAGATGAGAATCAGGAGTCCTTGAATCAGGATGTTGGGGAAGACACAGCACCCTGGAGGAACTACAGCCCAACCAAGCTCAACTGAGTCAATGAGCTGCAAGGACTTCATTTCTGTCCTCCGTTTCTGCTGTTTCTCTGAAGGTTTTGTTTTCCACAGTAGATTAACATTTAAGTGAATAGCCTTTGAATAAAGCAGATTGCTCTCCACATTGTGGTGGGCCTCATCCAACAGGTGAAGGCCTTATCAGAAAAACACTGACCTAGTTGAAGAAGAAAGTCTGCCAGAGACTGCCTCTGGACTCAAACTGCAGTATCAACTCTTCCCCGGGTCTCCAGCCTGACAGCCTCCCTACCGATTCTTGTTCGTCTTCCCAGACCAGAAGGCATACTTCCTGAGATCAGGAACTTCGCACTACCACTCCCCTGGTTCTTGGTCCCATTTGTATATTTATTGAATGAAGTGGGCATGTAAGAATTTCAGATTGGAAAACAAGTGTTGTTGAAGGAAATGAGCAGGGTGTTAAGAGTCAGCAGATAGGGACAAGATGTCCTTCTTGTACTGGGTTGTCCCCACAAAATTCACGTCTGCTGGGAACCTCAAAATGTGACCCTATTTGGAAATAGGATCTTTGCAGATTAATTAATTAAATTGAGATAAGTTCATACTGGATAAGGGCGGGCCCTCACCCAAGAAGTGATGTCTTCATCAGGTGAAAAAATAGGAGGTCAGTGCACAGAGAGAACCCCAAGTGAAGAGGCAAGAGGTAAAATGGCAGGTGATGTCAGAGGAAAGCAACGCCGAGGATTGCCAGCAACTACCAGAAACTGGAGAGAAGCGTGGGATGGCTTCTCCCTCAAGCCCCCAGAAGTTAAGGACCCTGATGACACCTCTTGAACTTCCAGCTTCCAGAACTGTGAGAAATAGATTTCTATTGTTTCAGCCACCCAGTTGTGGTTCCCCATTACAGCAGCCTGAGGAAGCGCAACAGCCTCTTCCTCGCATCTCTGCCAGTTCCCCAGAACCCTGCAATTTAACTGTGGTTGCCCCCACATGCCCTTGCAAAATTGCCTCTTCTTTGTGGACTTCCCATCTGCCCCAAGGCTGAGTGCTGCTTCCCACTTGGCCAGCCTGCAACCTGTATCTAGACGGCAGGTGGTGAAAATCTGCAGGAGCTGGGGTGTTTCAAAAGCACAGCAAGCTTCTCCGAAACTTTAGTGTCCTGTCTGGGAAGAAAACAGCCTCAAATCTGCTGGGAATCAAGCCTTGAGAACATGGGCTTACCAGCCGACTGTGCAAATGGTATGTCCAGAGCCTACGGGGAGGATTACTCACCCAGGTCTTGGTTCATTAAGCTGCTTTTTAAATTGAGAAGGCTGGAAAAGCTATAGACGAAACAGCCTCCCAGAATTCCATCAACTGCTGTTTCACTCAGAGGATTCCTGAAGCTTTCTCTGCGGGGGCTGGAGGTCTTGTGTGGCTGTGGTGCGAATGACTGGATACTGTGTGTGACTTCGGGTAGGAGCACATGGGGAGGGAAGGGTGGCTCCTACGGGGGTGAGCTGTTACTGGCTCTTGAAGCACTTTCTTTCATAGCACTTATCACAGTTTATAATTGCATTTATGTTCTGGAAGGCTCCTAGTCTCTGTTGCCAAAGGTCTCCAGGAGGATGGGGATTATGCCTTTTTGGCTCTGTGTGGTGTCTGCAGTGCACAGAGCAGAGTGCAGTTTACAAGTATTGGATAAACATTTGCTAAAGCAAAGTGAGATGCCTAACTCAAAGTGAGGTTAACTTCGGGATGCTAAAGGCACCCTGCTGAATGGTACTAAGAGTCTCTTAGAAGGAACCTCCCTTACTGTATATAACTCTGCCTCCCATACAGCCCAACTGATGAAAATTCCCTTCTTTTTATCTTCACACAGGGGACTTTAGCTACCAATTCATAGGGCTTCCTCCCCTCAACTCTACTTATTTTAACCTTTTTAAAAGGTAGTCAACCATTTTTTTCTCCTCCAAAGGAAACCTTATGTGGATTTCTAATCCAAAACCACTTGACAATGGAATTGCTCATGGTGTAGCAGGAATTAGGGACAGGCAGAACCCTCACAGGTTTCCCCTCTGTGCACTACTAAGCCATCTTCAATGCCCTGCAGAGAGTTCCTGGTTTGAAAACGCCACTCTGGGGGTCCCAGAGGATCCCCAGACCAGCTGGGGACATGTGCCTCTGAGACTCGGATTCAGTGGGACCTGGGCCTTCAGATCATGACTTAGACTCAAATGTTGGGTCCACACGCAGACCCTAGGTGGTGGCCTTCCCCAAAGGCAGGTTCTATCTCCATCTCTTGTATTCATCTTGTAAAGACAGTTGTTGCACAAGGCTAGGTGTCGGGACAAAACACAGTACAGCCACATAAGAAAAATAACTTTGTTATTAAGCATATATAATCTTATCCAAAGTACTTCATAGTATCACATCCATAACTGTTTGAATACTAGCCCAACTGGTACATGGATCTGTTATAAATAATGAACATAGCGACTGAATATATGACTAGTCACTGGGAAATAAAGACAACATCATGACACACATAGAATTCCCAGGGCCCTTGCTTTGGGGGTGGGGGTATTATTATAATAAAGAATGCTAAGGTCCCTGGGAGATGTGTAAAGGGTCTTTTTTTCTACGAATTCCCTAAAGCAGTAAATATTTGTTGAAGGAGCATGTAAAGTTCAAGATTTTATGCTTCAACAATTACGGTCAGGTTTAATTTTTTTCTTTTTCCTTTTCAAATGGAAAATAATTTTTTTTGATTTGTTGTGCAACATACATGCTGACTGTGCCAGGAAACATTTCATCTATTTTCCTGAATTTGTTATTAATAACTTTAGATGGGTCTATTCTACCAGTTGTTTGGCCTAGATTCCTACAAATAAATTTCCTTTTCAGGAAGGTTATCTGAAAGATGTGAAGGTTGCACAACGAGGCTGCTGACTCTCTGATTGGGCAGAGCTGGGGGAAAGAGAAAGGGGAGTAATATCTAAAGTGTGAAGAGGGATTTGCTGTCAACCCAAGGAGATGCCTGACACCGGGTCACAGAGAGTCTTGCCTGCATGCCTGGAAACTGGGCTCACAAGGCCACAAATCCTGGAAGGGGATCATGACCAGAACCAGGGGGTCTTTGCCTGGTGTTTGGTGGGAGTAATACACCTTCCCCCTTGCTGGTGCGCATTTCTTATTTACCTGTTTGGCTATGGACACACTTGTCTCAGTTTACACAGTGGAAAAGAAGTCGGTTGGTGTGTTCTGTGGCAGGTGCTGGAATTCACAAGGAAGGAAGACGGAGCTCCCCTGGTGCCCCACATTCTTTGGCATAGTGATGGTTATAATTGATCCCTCTGGAGCTGGGCATGGGGCCCAAATGTATGCCCTCCTTGCACTCTTTCAACAGATTTTTGTTCCCTTTGCTATCCAGAAACAGAAACCATCTATTATGTTCTGTTCTAAGTTCTAGTGATCAGGTTGCAAAAAATTAAAGTCAGTGTTTTTGCTGAAGGATTGAGGAGTACAAAGATCTCTTTTCCCATGGAACAGGAAGTGGCTTAGCAAAACTGTAGTAAATTTTACCCCCCAAAATGGCTTTTTCATTAAAACCAAAAATGGCTTTGAGCAGAAGTCCTGTTTAGACAGTGAAGCTTCAGTTTTCTATCCATAACTAAATGATACAAGAGGAATAACAGTGTATTATGTCTTATCTTTGAAAGATAATTTGGGCAGACAGTAGTCTACTGTGATAGTAGTCTAAGTTTTGAAAATCTGAGGATGAATAATTATTTTATAAACTGACCTGACCCAGCAGATTGAGATTATAAAATACAGGTTATTTTGTGTTTTGCTGGAGGATGTTATCTAGAATAATCTCATGAATCCCAGATATTACTACCTACAGTTCATTCTTTTAACATATTATCCTAGCTTCTTGTCATACGTGCAGCAGGGTTGAGTTTTATGGGCATTTGGCAATAAAGAAGTTTATATATAAACACAAGTTCCTCATTTAAGAAGAAAAATAAAGATGAACCCAATCATTTCTCATAGAGTCTGTACATAATTCACTTTAGCATTCATCCATCCACACCCTTTAAATACTGTGTTCCACAAGCAGGCAACAGTAAATCTATTCCAGATGGGAGTCAACAGCTGCTCAGTTCATCTTTTCATCAACCCGTGGCTGGTGAGGCTTTCTGCTGTGAAGATCGGATTCTGGAGAGACTGAAGGGGTTAGGGAAGATGCTAGAAAAGGAGCATCCCTTTTTTTTTTTTTTTTGAGAATGTGTGGTTTTCAAAGGATTACTCACCCAGGTCTTGGTTCATTAAGCTGCTTTTTAAATTGAGAAGGCTGGAAAAGCTATAGACGAAACAGCCTCCCAGAATTCCATCAACTGCTGTTTCACTCAGAGGATTCCTGAAGCTTTCTCTGTGGGGGCTGGAGGTCTTGTGTGGCTGTGGTGCGAATGACTGGATACTGTGTGTGACTTCGGGTAGGAGCACATGGGGAGGGAAGGGTGGCTCCTACGGGGGTGAGCTGTTACTGGCTCTTGAAGCACTTTCTTTCATAGCACTTATCACAGTTTATAATTGCATTTATGTTCTGGAAGGCTCCTAGTCTCTGTTGCCAAAGGTCTCCAGGAGGATGGGGATTATGCCTTTTTGGCTCTGTGTGGTGTCTGCAGTGCACAGAGCAGAGTGCAGTTTACAAGTATTGGATAAACATTTGCTAAAGCAAAGTGAGATGCCTAACTCAAAGTGAGGTTAACTTCGGGATGCTAAAGGCACCCTGCTGAATGGTACTAAGAGTCTCTTAGAAGGAACCTCCCTTACTGTATATAACTCTGCCTCCCATACAGCCCAACTGATGAAAATTCCCTTCTTTTTATCTTCACACAGGGGACTTTAGCTACCAATTCATAGGGCTTCCTCCCCTCAACTCTACTTATTTTAACCTTTTTAAAAGGTAGTCAACCATTTTTTTCTCCTCCAAAGGAAACCTTATGTGGATTTCTAATCCAAAACCACTTGACAATGGAATTGCTCATGGTGTAGCAGGAATTAGGGACAGGCAGAACCCTCACAGGTTTCCCCTCTGTGCACTACTAAGCCATCTTCAATGCCCTGCAGAGAGTTCCTGGTTTGAAAACGCCACTCTGGGGGTCCCAGAGGATCCCCAGACCAGCTGGGGACATGTGCCTCTGAGACTCGGATTCAGTGGGACCTGGGCCTTCAGATCATGACTTAGACTCAAATGTTGGGTCCACACGCAGACCCTAGGTGGTGGCCTTCCCCAAAGGCAGGTTCTATCTCCATCTCTTGTATTCATCTTGTAAAGACAGTTGTTGCACAAGGCTAGGTGTCGGGACAAAACACAGTACAGCCACATAAGAAAAATAACTTTGTTATTAAGCATATATAATCTTATCCAAAGTACTTCATAGTATCACATCCATAACTGTTTGAATACTAGCCCAACTGGTACATGGATCTGTTATAAATAATGAACATAGCGACTGAATATATGACTAGTCACTGGGAAATAAAGACAACATCATGACACACATAGAATTCCCAGGGCCCTTGCTTTGGGGGTGGGGGTATTATTATAATAAAGAATGCTAAGGTCCCTGGGAGATGTGTAAAGGGTCTTTTTTTCTAAGAATTCCCTAAAGCAGTAAATATTTGTTGAAGGAGCATGTAAAGTTCAAGATTTTATGCTTCAACAATTACGGTCAGGTTTAATTTTTTTCTTTTTCCTTTTCAAATGGAAAATAATTTTTTTTGATTTGTTGTGCAACATACATGCTGACTGTGCCAGGAAACATTTCATCTATTTTCCTGAATTTGTTATTAATAACTTTAGATGGCTCTATTCTACCAGTTGTTTGGCCTAGATTCCTACAAATAAATTTCCTTTTCAGGAAGGTTATCTGAAAGATGTGAAGGTTGCACAACGAGGCTGCTGACTCTCTGATTGGGCAGAGCTGGGGGAAAGAGAAAGGGGAGTAATATCTAAAGTGTGAAGAGGGATTTGCTGTCAACCCAAGGAGATGCCTGACACCGGGTCACAGAGAGTCTTGCCTGCATGCCTGGAAACTGGGCTCACAAGGCCACAAATCCTGGAAGGGGATCATGACCAGAACCAGGGGGTCTTTGCCTGGTGTTTGGTGGGAGTAATACACCTTCCCCCTTGCTGGTGCGCATTTCTTATTTACCTGTTTGGCTATGGACACACTTGTCTCAGTTTACACAGTGGAAAAGAAGTCGGTTGGTGTGTTCTGTGGCAGGTGCTGGAATTCACAAGGAAGGAAGACGGAGCTCCCCTGGTGCCCCACATTCTTTGGCATAGTGATGGTTATAATTGATCCCTCTGGAGCTGGGCATGGGGCCCAAATGTATGTCCTCCTTGCACTCTTTCAACAGATTTTTGTTCCCTTTGCTATCCAGAAACAGAAACCATCTATTATGTTCTGTTCTAAGTTCTAGTGATCAGGTTGCAAAAAATTAAAGTCAGTGTTTTTGCTGAAGGATTGAGGAGTACAAAGATCTCTTTTCCCATGGAACAGGAAGTGGCTTAGCAAAACTGTAGTAAATTTTACCCCCCAAAATGGCTTTTTCATTAAAACCAAAAATGGCTTTGAGCAGAAGTCCTGTTTAGACAGTGAAGCTTCAGTTTTCTATCCATAACTAAATGATACAAGAGGAATAACAGTGTATTATGTCTTATCTTTGAAAGATAATTTGGGCAGACAGTAGTCTACTGTGATAGTAGTCTAAGTTTTGAAAATCTGAGGATGAATAATTATTTTATAAACTGACCTGACCCAGCAGATTGAGATTATAAAATACAGGTTATTTTGTGTTTTGCTGGAGGATGTTATCTAGAATAATCTCATGAATCCCAGATATTACTACCTACAGTTCATTCTTTTAACATATTATCCTAGCTTCTTGTCATACGTGCAGCAGGGTTGAGTTTTATGGGCATTTGGCAATAAAGAAGTTTATATATAAACACAAGTTCCTCATTTAAGAAGAAAAATAAAGATGAACCCAATCATTTCTCATAGAGTCTGTACATAATTCACTTTAGCATTCATCCATCCACACCCTTTAAATACTGTGTTCCACAAGCAGGCAACAGTAAATCTATTCCAGATGGGAGTCAACAGCTGCTCAGTTCATCTTTTCATCAACCCGTGGCTGGTGAGGCTTTCTGCTGTGAAGATCGGATTCTGGAGAGACTGAAGGGGTTAGGGAAGATGCTAGAAAAGGAGCATCCCTTTTTTTTTTTTTTTTGAGAATGTGTGGTTTTCAGCTGTAACATTTTGGTAGATGGTCACTGGGATTTCACGTGAGGAAGAAAGAGTGGAGCAAAGTGTTTGTGGAGAACTCAGCCCCGGGCTGACTGATTGGGTCCTGTGTTTCTAACATGATGGGAATGAGGGAAGGAAGGCTGTCGTCTCTCCAGATTCACTAACAGAGGCCCCTGCATTGTTCTGAAGACAGAAGAGAAGTGGCAGATAAACACCGATAGTGGTTCTCTTTAAACATGCTTTCCCAGAAGGAGAGTTAAACGGGGTAGGTGAAAAGGAGATGGAAAAAGAAAACTCAACACAAACCTCCTAGAAACAGGGGGGAAAACACAGGATGGGAACAGGGGACCCCAACATGAGCACATATGAACTGTGACACTGATCATCTTTGAGGCTTAATATAAGGGTTTAGGTCTCCTGACCAGGTGGCTGAAGAGCCCTTCTGTGTGTCAAAGGAGAAGGTGGTCTTGAAGATACTGTCAGCTGCCCAGTAAAAGTGAGAGGTTCCCCAGTGACATCACAAAAGAGCAGAAGCCCTGCTGGTCTCTTGAGCTCTCCTACTTGTACTCCCATCTCTGTGGATCCAGAGAAAGCCCTTTCCAGAATATGCTTCCCTCTGAGACCCAGGGGTGTATGAGCAAACATGGACTCAGTGGAAGGTCTGGGAATATACCTTTTTTCAACTGCTTCCCACATTTGCTGAGGAAGGGGAAGCAAGGGGAAGGCCTGTAAGAACTGGAGCTTGGACTAACTTATAGAAAACTAAGGAAAGATGAGACTAGCTGGGAGGAAATTTCTGCCAAACAAGGAAAACCATGTGTTTCCCTTCACATTCAAGAAAACTTTGAATAGTGTATTATTCTCTGTGTTGCGAAGCTTGGCTGGTCCCAGACAAGGACTTCTAATTCCCAAGGAGAGCAGATTTACCTGGCCCTGCCGATGCAGTGGGATCTCTGCTCCAGGTTCTCCCTGTCCTTTGCCAGTAACCCAAGTCAGCAACCTTCTTCCAGCCTTCAGCTCGTTGCACATTGATTCAACCTGGCTCATGGGCTCACGGCATGTTCTGGGCAATCGGTCAGAGCCAGGGAATTCTGCACCTCTCCCTAAGGGACAGCCACCTTTATTTAACAAATAACCTGTGACTTACTAAGCAAGCCCACTCATTTGCTCAAACAGCTTTAAAATGTCCTGGCAAGCCAGGAGCTCATTGTTCTAATGTGAATCAGGATACTTCATTCACTTACTTTGTTTTGAATAGAGGATTTATTCCTATAGCCAGCGTAACACTCCTCTCTGAATATGCTTACAGAAAAGTGTAGCATGAATCCTTATAGTCATATGAGAATTTAGAAAGAGACAACCCCTATGACAGTCAATATACTACTGTATCATTTTTCTCCATCTCCCCTGATCTGTGCTTCTTAATTTTCTCATTTCTTTAACCAAAATTGTGAAACAAGGTTGGACAAGAGGACAGAACATTGCAAACCTATTAGACTGACAAGGTTAAAGAATTATCCACCCAGGTAAATTTATACATTGTTGTCTCCCCTTTTTAACCGAAGAGGCCTAATTCTGATACTGAGGAGTAGAAGTCTATTCCAGACACCTATCTATTGTTTTTTATAAGTAACCTCATTTTCTCAGAGCTCACCTGGCCGCTTTCCCCTTTTCAATAGTCTGCCAAAGTTTATGACACCGTGAGACTACTTAACTCAAAGAAATCAGAAGCTCCTGGAAAAAGGAAAGTTACAACGTAGACCAGCGGACTCCATCTGACTCTCAGAGGGAAGCATATACATCAGTCACTTTCTCTTGTCTCCAGCACATCTAGCAAGGGACTCTGAAACTAGTATTTGGAAGAAGAGGAGGATGGAAAAGACAAGAAAAAGGTAAAGAAAATAAAAACATATCTTTTCTGGGTCTCCAGTGGCTTCTTTTTCTTTAGATGATTTAACTGCAGGTGAAAAGGCACTTCTCTTCCCTTCCTTTGCATGCCGACCTTGGGATGTGCTAAGGGGACAAGCCTCCGGGGGCTCCCAAGTCTCCCGTCTCAGTACTTTTTTGGATAGTCATCTCCAGAGCCAAAGTCCGTGGTCTCCGGGGAGCTGGAAAATTTCTGAGGCAAAGGGAACTCCTCAGCCGAAGAGTGAGTCCGGTGCCCGAACACCTCCTCCTGCAGCTCGGCGATGTCATTGCGGAGGTCGGCCAGCATGAGCAGCAGGAAATCAAAAGAACCAGGCGGCCCCTGCGGACAGAGAGGGATCAAGGCCAGGACGCCACGGCCGGCCCTTGGCGAAGCGGTGCTCCCAGGGGCTCCGCGGTTTGCTACTCCCACTTCTTGCTGGCGGCTATTTGGTTGATAACTTTATCCCAAATGGAGTGAACACCAGGACTGCTACAGTGGCCTGGGGGATTGAGACTGCCTTCTAATGAACTCCCTCATCTCCCGCATGAGCTTTGCGAATACCTTCTCATCTTCTCCGGTCCTCATTCTAGGCTACATCAAATCTGGTAGAATGAGAAGATGGAACGGGTCTCCTAGGTTCCTTTCCAAAGAAACTTGGAAGATGCTTATGGAGGCGTAGAGTAGTGGCTAAGAGGTTGGGGTTCTGTTGGGTTTGAATCTCAGCTCTGCCAATTACTAGCTGGTCTTTGGTGAGTTACTTAATTTTTTTGGGTTTCCACCTCCATATCTGTAAAATGGAGATAATGAAAGTCCTAACTTCCTAGTGTTTCACAGGGTTCATAAGTGAGGAGTTAAATGGGTTAACATATATAAAGGGCTTAGAGCGTAATAAATCCTTGAAAATGTTGTCTTTTAAAAAATGGAAGTATTTAAATGTTTATAAGGATCACTGATGATAATTCCCACCTAAATGAATTTTAAAATATGTTGTAAAAAACATTCTCAATCATAACGTAGGTTGGTCACCAGGACAGCAGTGCAGCATGGAGAATATAGTCAATGATTCTGTAACATCTTCCTCTGTTGACAGATAGTAGTTGTACTAGTGGGGGAGGGAAGGATTTAATAATATGGGTAACTTCTGAACCAATGTGTTGTGTACTTGAAACTAATATAAGATTGTATATCAACTATACTTCAATTAAAAAAATGAACGTATGTTGTAAAGGCATCCATTCCTCCTTGGCCAGGAAAAGGACAAAGACTTCCTAATTTTTCTATTGACTGAACATCTTTTATCACTATATGTAGTATTTATTAAGCTTTGACTTCTATGTAGTGCTGTGTGAGGCATGGCAAATAATGGATGAGCAAGCATGTTCTGGGCTTGTTAGCTGCCTGCAGTAAGTCTTTATTACCCCCACAATCTCTGCTGCTGCCGGGGCCACCTTAGAAACTGCTGCTTTATCTGCAAAGCACTTAGTGATGAACAGTGTTTTGACATCAACTAATACTCACTTGAGGTGTAGCAGATCATATTCCACTTGGCATCACACAGGTGAGGGAATGGACACCCAGGGACGCTATGTGGCATGGCCAGGATCAGAGGGCTAATCCATCCATGGAAGAGTTAAGATGGGAACCTGGCCCTCCTATCTCTAAGGCCAAGGCTCTCTGTCTTTCTTCAGAAATGACATTGACCTCTTCTGAAACAATGGAGTTGCTTGAATTTTCTGTGCTTTTGGGTACTACTAATGTTCCTTTTTAATCTCCTGGACACCACACACATACCCACTAATTCCTTCTCATTGGTCCCAAGGAGGCCTGCATGTCTGTACTTTTTAGGGAGGACAGTCACCTGACCTGTTAGGGTTGTAGTGGTGGCTAAATTCTTTAGCTTCCAGAGTTATGACAGCCCTATAGATTTCTTTTCTGGTCCCTTCAGATGTTTTATGACATACTTGGAAACAGACTCATGACTTACTGGGGTATGAACCTTAACAGAAGACATTCCACATAAGGATTAGCCATGATAAAAGAAAAAACAGCAGAAAATGAATTCTAAAAATGATTCCCAACCAGCTGCTAAAGGCCTCCGTAATGCTCCTCTGACCCACCAAGTTCTGTTTGGGTGGGCTGGATGGTGGCTGGAAGGGGCCAGTTTTTGCTAATAAGAACAACTTACAGACTCATCAGAGCTGCATCCCTGAGAACATTCCCCCTGGGGGAGCAGGACAGACAGTGCTACTTACTGGAGACCCTCTGGGCCCGGGTGCTCCTCTCTCCCCCTAAAAGCAGAAAGGGCAGGATTAGCTTTGTGGACCCTGTGGAGGCCACCACTGTGGTCTCCACTTAGACACCCACGATCACCATCTCTCTGCACCAAACCACAAATATTTTCTATTGGAAACAAAGGTAAGCTTGAAGCTAGACTCATGGGACCACTTCCTTGAACAGAACTGCCTGGATCAAGTGTCTCTCATTCTGATGTCCCCTGAGGCCCTATGTTTTCAAACCAGATCTGACAAGAGGAATGCTTCCATTGCCGGGCAGCATGGGGAATAACAGACATTTCTAAAGTAACTCACACTGACTTCTTTACGAGCAAGCAGCCAGCAGCTCTCAGCGTGAAACCACCCTTTTGTGCAGCATGGAACTTCTCCTGTACTTGACTTAAACATATTAAAGGAATGGGGACACACTCAAGAGTCCTACAAATAAACACTGGCTAGAGAGAAAAGGGCATGCTACAATGACAATCAGAAGCTTGTCAAAATATATAGGGGTAATCTTTCTTAGGAGTGGTTTTCGTTTTTATGGTTGTTTCATATTTTAAGAAGAATGCTTTCTAGATTTTCTGCCTAGCTTTGGGTAAAAAAGTGTGTCTGTTTTTCAATTTTGCCTGTGACAAAATTGGGAAAGGAAACTGTGTTTTGAGTTTTACTTGATGCCTGCACAGTAGGTTGAAATGCAGAGACCTTCAGCTTGTAAGGGCCACCCACGAGACTTACCTTAGAACCATCCCTTCCGGGTGCACCTGGGGGGCCCTACAAGACAAAGGGATCTGGTTTAGTCTAACAGAAGGAAAATGCATGGGACAAGAACATGCTTTCCCCCCAAACAGGAGAGAGATCTCTGATAAAATACTGACCACAGGGCCCCTCCGGCCTTGCTTAATGTGGGACAGATCAGGAGATGGTCCCATGGGTCCCATTGAGCCCCTCGGGCCAGGCTGCCCAGGAGGACCTGGTATCCCAGGGAAGCCCGGGCTCCCCTTTGGTCCTGGTGAGCCTGGAATCAAAGAACACTTCATTAGCTCCATATCCCATGAGGAGGACAAGGGGTCTGGCTGACAAGAGAAGAGAGCCTGGGGGTCCCTTTTAGCCATTTCTCTTTGCACTGCGCCCTCTGCCTTCTGACATCTGCGCTGAAGTGAGCCACAGGCATTTTAAACCGAACGGGATCAAAGCGGACTTCCCCATGCCACTCTCTCTTCATGGCCCACCAGTCACCCATCTGCTCAAGCCAGAAACTTGAGAGTTCTCCCTTACGTCCCTATTTCCACAACCTCCTTGTCCAGTCAGTGACCAGTTCCACACACCGCACCTCATTAATGCCTCCTATAACCGTCTGTCCTCTGTACATCCTCAGTCACACCAGTGTGGTGGTTAATAAGCTGGGTAGCTTCCAAGGGCATGGGTTTTGGCATCAGAGAGATCTAGGTTTGAATCCCAGACAATCTGCTTGACCTCTTTGATCCTTAATTTCTCATCTGTAAAGCTGGACTAATAAAAAAAAAAACTACCTTATAGAGTGGTTGAGTATTAAATGAGATTTTAGACACACACACACAGACCAGGTAGTCTAGTACCTTACACAAGGAAGCACTAAACAAGCCTGTTAGGACTTCCTTACAGTGGTTCTGCTTTGCAGACAATAAAGTTCAAACTCCGCAGCGCTCTCTGTAAGGTCACCCTCGCCTTCCTCTCCAGGCATTCTTTACCACTGCTGCCTCCTTCCTAATCACCTCCCAGCCCCCATCCACCCTGAAAAAAAACACTGCGCATTGTACCACCCCGCCTCGACTCCTATTTCCTCCTTTGCCTATGCCCTCGTGCAATCACCACCACCCACATTTCTCTAAATATCAACACCCCCTTCCCTGTAAGAGAACAGCTTACTTCACTGTGCACCATTATATTACACACCCAGTGTGAGTGTGCATACATTACAGGTATATTAGGTATATATCAGATGTAGTTGTATACACCTATACCTATACACACACTCTATACATGTCTATGTGCTCGTTTATGGATACTATTATCCTCTGAATTTCCTGACATTTAAGAATTGGGAGACTTTATATAAAAATCTGGGCTTCTGGCTTCTGTTTTAAAAGAGGAGGAACTAAACCCGGACCTCTTACTCTCCTACCGGCACACCCGACTGGAGCTCTCTGCAGGGGCTGCCCCTGTCACGGGACTATATGCTCTCGGGTTTCGGTCTATCCTCCTCACTGCCTGCCTCTCACCTATGCTCCCTGCCCGTAGACACTGAGGGCTTTTCTGTTTTTTGTTTTTAGACTCTTTTCAGAGGGCAGAGCACTGGGAGGATGTTGAGAGTTTAAGAACATGCTATATGACTGTTTTTGTGCCTGCTTGATAATAACTGTTGTACGTCATAGCACTCAACACGGAGGTTGAGGGAGAGGGACTACAGGTCTCATCTGCCTCTAACTACAGATGTGCAGAATTGTAAATAGCCACTGGCCTGGGCTGGGCTTCTAGTGGGGCTTGGGGGCTTCCCCCCCTTGTGTCTATCTGCTACACAGTGAGGGGAAACCTCACCGGCTGCTCAGTTGGAGGGCAGCACCTGGTGCAGAGTTCAGGGTGTCCACCTCTGCAGAAGGCCTCAAGGGCGCTTTGAGAGTATTTATTAAAAGTTGTGGTAAACAACACATAGAAGTTATCATCATAACCATTTTTAAATGGTTTGACATCTCCACTGCCTTCTGACATCTCCATTTTTAAAATGCACAGCTTAGTTGTGTTCAGTACGTTCACGCTGCTGTGCAACAGATCTCTAGAACCTTTTAATCATGCAAAACTGAAGCTCCACACTTACTGAACAACTCCCCCACCCTGTGCCCCTCAGCCCCTGGCAACCGCCAGTCCACTTTCTATCTCTATGAATCTGACTCCTTTCCATACATCACAGAAGTCGAATCATATGGCATTGTCTTATTGTGACTGCCTGATTTCACTTAGCATAACATCCTCAAAGTTGCACGTTACAGCTTGCAATAGGATTTCATTCTTTTTTAAGAATGAGCAATATTTCATGTTATGTACAGACCACATTTTGTTTACCCATTCATCTGCTGATGGACACCTGGGTAGCTTCCACCTCTTGGCTATTGTGAATAGTGCTAAGAATATGGACATGAAAACATCTCATTGAGAACCTGTTTTTAATTCTTTTGGATATATACGCAGAAGCGGGATTGCTATATCATACGATAATTCTGTTTTTAATTTTTTGAGGGACCTCCATACTGTTTTCTGTAGTGGCAGCACCATTTTACATTCCTACCAATAGTGTGCAAGGACTCCAGTTTCTCTGCTTTCTTACCAACACTTATTTTCTTTTTCTGGTAGTGGCCATCCTAATGGATATGAAGTGATATGCTCATTGGCCATGTGTTTATTATCTTTGGAGAAATGTCTATTCAATTTCTTTGCCCATTTTAAAATCAGGTTGAGTTTTCTGTTGTCTAGTTGTAGGTCTCTTTATATTCTAGATATTAATCCCTTATCAGATAATGTGATTTGGAAATATTTTCTCCTACTCAGTAGACTGCCTTTCATTCTGTTGATTGTATTCTGTGATGCACAAAAGTTTTTAAATTTGATGTAGTTCTATTTGTCCCTTTTTGCTTTTTACATCTGTGCTTTTAGTATTACAGCCAAGAAATCATTGACACATCCAACGTCATGAAGCTTTTTACCTATGTTTTCTTCTAGGAGTTTTATAGTTTCAGATCTTACATTTAGGTCTTTAATCTATTTTGAGTTGATTTTTATATATGGTATAAGATAAGGGTTCAACTTGATTCTTTCGCATATGTAAGGACATGAGTTTTTAACTTTTTTGGATTGTCAACTCAGTGAGGGCATGGGTTGTGTCTTAAATGTCAGCACACTGTCAGAGTCCCAGGTGCAAAGTAAGCTGCTTGGTATATGTTTCATGTCAAATGATTTCACTGAAGAGGCTGGGCTGACTGCTGTGCTATAATTATTCCCAAGTGATGTCTTTTTCAAATGCATATGGTAATTACTTTTTAATCATACCTAGCTCCTACTTGACAGAGGGTGGTATGACTTATAGGTACCAGAAAACAAAATAAATCAAATCAAAGAAACAAAGACTGCAGATTTTTCATACTGGAGAAGTCTTTTCTACCTCACAGAATAATTAAGTCAAAGTAAAGGCAGTCACTGCACTGTTCCATCCAAACATGTTTCATGCCCTTAATGCTCTGTGCTGGTTCCAGCTACATCCTCAAAGAGTTTTTCTGGGGAGGGAACCAGAAATCTCCTAAAAGGACAGGCCAGAGATAGTATCTTACCTTCATTTACACAATCAATGAACTTCAGAGATCACTACATGTCAGGTGCCTTTAAAACATGGGCCTTTGATGTGGAAATGGTAGCACCTTATACATAACAGTGGGGGCCAGAGACAGGAGCAGCCCCCTCTTTATCACCAAAGCCAAAGGATTCCAACCCAGCGTAGCTTCCTGTGTTGGTGCCCCAGTCTGTGATTCATCATAAGCCTCAGGACTAGAGGAAACCTTATTGTCTTTCTAACTGCCCTAGCACATCTCAACGGAGGGCATCACAAACTGATGCTGGAAGGAGAAAGAAACAGGATTGTAGGGGCAAGCAAGGGCACAGTGCATGGCTAAAGCAGATCCCTCAATCACTCTGTTCCTCAAGGGCCCTGGACAGTTCAACCCATGTTAGAAACCAAACAGCAAAACTGGAAAGTCAGCACGTCATTAAGAAGAAAGACAGCCAATGGCTCCCTGTTCCTGTCTAGTCTGTCTTTGTTGGAGTGGTATGTAGATTGGTCTGGAGAAGAATTTCCTCCAGGAAAGCAGAGCAAAAGCATTCTTGTAGAGAAGGGTGGAGACTAGTGCTAAGAATTTGAAGAGAGACCATGTCTACTTGGAAGCGGCAAGAGGCTGTCTGTGGGAGGCAACTGCTGGAGAAAACGGCCCATGACCCAGAGTGCCTCAGACCAAGGGAATCAACACGAGGGTAAACCAGAGTCCTGGACCAGTTCTTGTTCTCTGTACAGACTGAGACCCAGGCCACCTGTGTTTGATGGAAACCAGATTAAGATTTAAGTGCAGAAGAAAACACATAAATGGTTTGGGGAGAATTCTGAGACCTTCTTCCTAAAATCTACTCATGCCCTTTCTGCTTGGACAAATCCAACCAGCCGTTCACATCCAGGTCAATAGCTCCAAGTCCTCCAATAATTGCAGGTCGCAGTGATCTTCCCCTTTTATAAACTCTTATAAAAGGAAGCACCTGCTTACTTTGGGGCACACAGATGCTGTTTCATTCTATTTGCTTTCACTCTGTCTTGTCTTCCCAATCAGAATGCCAGGAGGTCATTCACAACACCGAGCACACTGCTAAGCAATGATAATCAAGGATAAGACCCTCAGTTTTTGGAATCCTTTGCTAACACTAAGGCTATTTCTTTTACTGGCATGGAAAAAATATATTGCTCCATCTGTTTATGGAGGGACTCATAATAAAATATAAAATACCTTGTAACTGGTTTTTTTTTGGCGGGGTTGGGGGGGTTATCATTGTATATCTCTTGATGGAATAATAGGTCATTTGGGATTTTCTTTAGTGTCCTAAGGGTGACCCTCCCAAACAATATGCTGAATGAGAGAAGCCAGAGAAGACAAACCCATACCATGAGATTCCATTACTATGAGGTTCTGGAAGAGACAAATCATAGTGATAGAAAGCAGGCCAGTGGTTGCCTAGTGCTGGGGAGAGGGGAGAAGCAAAAAGGAACAAGGGACCTTTTTAGGGTGGTAGACATGTTCTACATCTTGATATAGATCTAGGGTGTTGGTTAGTAAGTGCTTGAGATAGGATGTACACCTATCTCAATTACAGTTGTCACCTTGTTCAACTGTAATTTAAGTGGTTACATTGTATATAGTTGGATCTCAATGAAGTTGACTTAAAAAGAAAATTATATATATATATAATGTAAATTACAGATATATAGATGTAATACAGATATATAGATGTAAATGTGTTCATGAATAGGGGAAGGAGGAGGTAGGATGGAGGAAGAGGAGAAATGACGCCAGCAGTGAGGAGTCAGAGGTGGGTGATGAGGCCCCAAGAGTTCCTTATACCATTCAATTTCCATATATGCTAACATGGGAAAATACTTCTCATTTTGTTTCTCGGTAACCTAAAATGATCTCTCAGAATCTTACCCAAGCCCAGAACAATGACCTCTTTTTCCCAAATGACTCCTTGGTGATGAGGGTTTCTCAGGCTTGAGGACCCCGTTTCCCCAGGCCCTCCTGCTGCACAGGTGTGGGAGCTCCCGGACTCTTGCTTCCACTCTCATCCCCAGAAGGTAGAGAGCTGCGTCCAGCCCCCACTAAACGTGAGCTCTTAGCAGCCCTGCCTGGTGACCCTGCCCCCCTTCCATGCCCTTCTCCACACTCACCGGGAGGGCCCTGGCCCCCGGGCAGGCCAGGAGGTCCTGGGAGGTAAGCGCTTGAGACCAGCACCTTGTTGTCGCTGATGTGCTTGCCCAGGTGGGCAGCACTGCTGGGGAGCAGGGCGATCTGCAAAGGGAAGGACCGCGGTCAGGAGGTGATGGCTCTGCTGCCTGGGAGAGCCTTCCCTTGTGTGTTGTGCGCAGATGCTGTGAAACCTTCTCACGGTGATTCTCTGTTACCTGAGCCGCTTAGGGCTCAAAGGGGCTGCAGAGAGCCTCTTTCTAGACCCAGAGGCCTTCTGGTGAAGACAACCTGCATGAGAGCATGATAATTTGCATTTTGGCAAACAACTTTCACCTGATAATCTCATGGAGAAGATTCTTCCAGCTCCTCTGCAAGGTGATCGCTCTAGTCATGTGTCCCGCTGGGCCCTCACTGGAAGCACTTGCCATTTGTCTAAAAGGCAAAATCCCAGGAAACCCACAAGAGGGTTTGGGCCACAACCCTGCAGCCTGGCATGGAAAACGAGCAGATCTGTGAGGCTGGAGGTGCTGTGCCTGCTCCCCTGCTCAGTCTCCCTCGCATGCTCGTCGGCACATGCCAGGCTCTCCTGGGGTCAAGGCCCTATTCCATCTGTAGCTGCCCTAGGTGACCTGTTGCAGCCTGAGATGCTCCTCCACCTCGAACTTTCTCAAGAGTGTTTTTTCTTGCAGTCCTTACCAAATCTGTCCAGCTCAGGGCACAAGGATGCTCAGAGGTTGGGAAGCTCAAAGAAGCACCAATGTTGTTTCCTAAAAGGTCCGCTTGGTGCCTTCAGCACTCCTGCACATGTATTCCTAGGAAGCCTAGGAGCCCTTCAGCTAATATTCAAATCCTTAGGTAAGGACAGCCTTGGGGTCCAGGAGACGGGCCATTTCTGAGCACCCACTGCCTTCCTCCATGCTTTGACTGAGCTAGTGTTCCCTGAAAAATGGAAGTAATGGCACTCAATTCTTCTGTGCTCATTGTTCAGAATCCAGTAGGAGTAACCATAAGAATAAAATCTTGTGCAACCTCAAAGTCAGATTTGCACAATGTCAGATAGGTTCAAAGTCCCCAGTGGGCCCCGGCTGTGTTCCGTGGGTTTATTTACAATGGCGCTGGTGTCACTGCTCACAGCAAGGGGCCCTCTGACCAGCAGATGTGTGCCTGTAGTTTTGAGGTGGAATGGATGTAAACTACTGAGGGAAATTTATAACTAACAAGGGGATATAAGGTCAACACTCGAAGCTGAAGGCTGGTTCAATTTTATTACCTGCTCCCAACACAAAAACTGGAATATGGACCCACCTGTGGGCTTTGGCATTAGGAACACTTAGGTGTAAATCTCAGCCCTGCCCCCTTCTACTTGTGGGATCTGAGGTAAGCTACTTGACCTGGGTGTCTGCATCTATACAATGAGGACAGTGATATCCAAACTAAACAGCTGCTGGGAAGGCAAAAGCGTTGATGCCTTTAACATGCTTGGCCCAGTGCCCAGCCTCGTAGCCTCCAGCGGCTGTTGCCACCCACATGATGCAACGCTCTGTACGGCTGCTCTGGCTCTATTTCTAAGTAGCTGTGTGACTTTGGTAAGTCCCTTCACCCTTCCAGGTGCTCATCTTCACACCTACAAAATAAGCGGTTTGGACCAGATGATCATGTCTTCAGGTAAGAAATTTTGCGAGTGAGCCTGGCGGATGAGACCTGCACATGGATGCACTGCAGAGGTGCTCCCTGGGCCCTTTCCAGCGCTGTTTGCTCCCTTGCAGAGGTCATGAGGCCTCACAGGACATGCTGACCTCAGTTTCCTGGCTGACCTCCTGCTGGGAATTACATCCTGGCTTCCTTCAGTTTCTCTGTGTATCAGCATGGAAAGCTAAGGCACTGGCGATTTGAAGGCAGCTGCTCAGAATCCCTGCCTTGACTTCCACACACACACAGCAGAGAAAGGGCTTGTGGGATTCAGGTGTTTGGGAGGAAGGTCATAGGAATGTAAGAAGAATATGTGTTTCTCCTGGATTCCACTCGATGGAATTATGAATACCTCATATTAGCCTCCATAATAAAACATATACCTCACAGAGCTATTGGTACAAATCAGGGCTGTCTGTAAACACTTTCCAAGGGCATATAATATTATATGATAAACATTTACAGAGCTCTTTCTAAGTGACGGGCACTGTTCTAAGTCCTTCATAAGTATTAGCTCATTTGATGATGAAAACCTTATATAATAGGCATTATTTTTATACCCTTTTTGTAAAGTTGAGGCACAAGGAGGTTAAGTGACTTAGCCAGGGTCACAGAGCAGAGGGTGGGGCTAGGATTTCAACTTAGCCAACTTGGTTCTGGACTCTGTGCTCCTAACCACTACACCAAGCTGCTTCTCTTAATAGTACTAGTGGTACTTGGCAAAGCAATCTGCAGTCACTTTAATATGGATCAGTCTTCCCAACAGTCCTGAGATGACCCATTTTACAGAGCAGCCAGATCAAGGCACCAGAGGAAATCAGTCACAAACTGTTGAGAAGCCAAGTATTTGCCTGACAGTAAGAGCAATGCTAGAGGGGGGAATTCTGCCATCACACTGGAGATTGGCTCCCAAATGGGAACCTCATTGACCTCTAACTTCTGAAGCTTCAACTGCCTGCTCCTCACCCTGTGGCAACTGTGGGATGACTGACACCACCACTGCACCACTGGCTTGGTCTTCCAGGTACGACACTACATTTATTTAAGGAAGGACCTTATTCCACAACTTCTGGTATCTCCTCATCTCCCAGCCCACCATGGTCTGCAGCAGGTGCTCAGCAAACACTTCCTCAATCATTATTCATGCTTCCCTCAATTGCTCCACAGAGGCTGAGAGATGCTGCTCTCAAACAAAACAGTTTGCAGCAGGAGCACAAGTAACTTTTAAGAAGCTAGCTCCTGGGCTCAGACTTTTCCTCAGCACACTGATGGGTCTGAGACCCCTCTGTGCAAGTTACATTTTACCTATCCCCACAGCTCCCTTTTGCTAAATTACCTCTTTTTTTTAAAAAAATTGCTGTTTGCAAACAATGGAAGAATTTGTAGAGGCAGAGGCATTGGGGAATGCAAATCACCTTCAGAAACTTAAATACAAGCACAGAATCTGGACATCCCACAAAACAAATCTTTATCTTAGTAAATTATAAGACAAGCACCTTTTAAGGAACACCCAGGTCAAAAAGCAGAGCTTTGCCAGTCACCTGAAGCCCTTCCATGTACCAGTCCTTCTTCCTCTCAAAAGTAACCACTATCCTGATTTTAATCAAGTCCTGTGTTTCAAAAAAATAACTTATCACCCAACTGTACCTGCCTTGACACCATGGTTTATAGTCTTGCCCATTTAAAAATGTTATGTTTTTTAAGTTTCTTTTAATCCTCAAGTTGCTGCTCCACCTCTTTCTTTTCTGTATCATTTACCCACTGAAGAACTCAGGACATGTGCCCTGTACAGTTTCCCACAGTTGGGGTTTTGCTGACTCTACACTCATAACATAATTCAACATGTTTGCATACCATTTATACTGTGGGGCTGGCCACAGTCCAGCTCACCCGGCACTTATTTCTTGGCCAATGTTTATTTGGGCAGATGTCCTGTGTTCTTTTTTGAACAGAACAGATGGTATCAGTAGTAGTGAGATGAAGTTAAAAACCAACTGACAATCCTGCACTGGCACTGGGGCAGAAGTGAGAAGACCTAGGGTGCGCTCTGGCCTGGAGTGACTTCAACTATCTGAGAATATCAGCATCTTCTTTATAGCGTCATGGTGAGAATTGAATGAGATTCTGGGTATAAAAGTGCTTGATAAACTGCAGTTTATAAACTGTAATACATTCTAACAGTTACCTTTGAAAACAACTTGTTCCTCATAGTGTTTCTTGAATTTTCACATCAGCTCAGACTTGCCACAATGCATCTGTAGAATTCGGTATAAGGAGGACCAATTCCAGGCCTACCCAAGGGCGTGAGAGGTACTGGAGTACTGGGAAGTACAGTACTCTTCATGGATGTGTATATAGCTCTACAGCAAGGTCTTTAAGGGTGACAGGTATTGTGACACTAAATTTTCAACTTCTTAATATTCTTGCATGGAACATACATTGCAAGGAAGTTGAGAGAAAGCGAGATATTGATTTAGCAGCTGAATTTCTGAACAACATGTGGGATATAGCAGCACTGATCGTAAAGATCAGCTAGGCTAGAAAAAGCTTCCCTCTAGCTCTCAGATTTTTGACTATCCAGGAGAGGAAACAGAGAAGGTAGCTTCAGGCCTTGAGCCATGATCAACTGCCTCCCCCAAGCCCCAATCCTTTGGCCTATGAGACGCAAACTTTTTCTACGAGCCCCTTTTTTGGATTAGCTTAACAAATACTAATATCAATCCAAGTTCAACCTGAGGATATCTATGCGGGATGTATTTATTCGTATCTGTGTTTATACTGATGGGCTGACAAGGTTTCCCTATTGGATCACAAGCCATGTAGGATCATGATTATGCATTATGTATATATTTATTTATGCATGCCTCTGCAAAAGCTGATCTGATAGATCTTCAGCAGTGTACTACAGGCCCGTAGAGCCAATCTTCTTCTCCACCTATCGATCTACGTATTGCACTGGTATCTGTGGTTCTTGCTGGGGACTGCCTGCATGTTTGTAGAACATGGAAAAGCAATACTGTCGTGTGCATGCTCTTTTGCTCCTTATAACAACTAGATGTCAAAGGTAAACAGATTATATACACCCCTTTGATGTACTAAGAGCCTTGAGTGGAAGCAAGTGAATAAATGAATCAGTAAGTTTATGTTTCATCAGCATAAGAGCAATTTCTGATTCGCTGACAAACTGGTGAATGGATCTCAACTTCAGGTGTATTTATGTTCCAGGTATATTTATGTTCCAGCCATCTGGGTCCAGGACAGTCATTCCAGAAATAGGGTCACTAGATACATCACGGGGGCGTTACTCATAGGACAGCAGCACTACTAGAAACCTGATACTCTGTCAGGCACATGTGGGAGCCTTTCACAGAGTGAGTCAGTCCTCCTGCTCACCCGAGGTACTTAGTGGCTGCTTTCCGAGGTGCATGGAGCCCACACAGAGCACAGGCTGTAATTTTTAAATGTGAAAAATAAAGCTGCCACAGGAACTCATCACCAGCTTATACAGGTTTATAGAAAAGATGTCCTCTATTGATAAAATGTAGACAAAATATTAGATAAAGTAGAATTGTGTAAGTCAGCCCACAGGGCCACATGCCTGGATGTTCATTTAACAAAGTGTCATCCTCTCTCTGGCTTCGCCATGTGCCCCTTACCACATGGTCTAATTTAACAGTCACCCCATCAATCCCCCGCCTTCAGTGCGCTCTGCCGGGGTTGGCACCAAGCTCAGGGAATGCTCAGCGAGGTCATCCGTGACGGCTTTCTTATTGTTTCTAGACATTCTCCTGCTTTGTCTCTGCCACGTCCTCCTTTTATGTCCGTGATTGTCTCTAACATAACAGTGCATACCTTTTGCTTCAGCTGCAGCACCGTCTGCTTCATCTGGTGAAACTCCTTGCAGGTGGCACAGCAGGTCCCGGCTTTCACCGCGTTCTCGGCCTTCTCATCGTGCCCTGAGAGGGGAGACAGGCGCAGGTCCGTCTGGGAGGCTGGAGGGCATCCAGACCCAGAGAGACAGCATCACAAAGGGGTGTCCTGGGGCAGACAGGCTGCCGGTGGAATGTGGGAGGGCTGGAGGCTGGCGGTTTCACATTCTCAGGTCCCTGACAGTACGCCCCGCCCCAGGTCAGGGGGCAGAGAAAGGGGCCTGCTACCTAAGGGCTCCGCTCTTCCCATCTAGGCATCCCAGTGTGTTTTTTATTTTATTAACTCCCTCTTTCATAGGTGAAAATGTGAACTGAACTCTTTCTGTCTATCAGAAGATAGATAGAAGCAGGCTCTATTTATCTGAGAAGATTGATACTCCCCTCCAAGGGCCAGTGTTCACCCACGTAAACCATCCCCCAACCTCAGGGAGTGGGACTCCAGGGCAGAGCTCGCAAAGCTGGTCTTTATCACCTCTGATACTCCAGTTGTTCAAAGGGAGCAAAGCCAGGTCAGGCAGGTCACAGACGAGGGCTAAGCACAGACCTCCAAGGAGGTGTGTAGCCAGGATGGAAAAAACTGGCCAGGCACTCTGCCCATGCCCATGTGGGACCCAATGGGAGGGCATCAGACCCATCCCAGTTCTGTCTTATAGAACCCTGGGAGAACCAAGGGTTTTTCATAAAATCATTTTGCATAAGAAAGAACGGGTGAGTTAAATGGTAACATGGCCAAGAATTCTCACCACTTTCATCTTATCGGCACTAAAACAGGTCAAACAAGCCTATGTGCAAGGGAGACGAGACCCTGAGGTAGTCTTGCTGCTGATGAATAGGTGGAGACCAGCAAGGTCTGTGCAAGAGGTGGTGGCAGCGTGGGCAGCAGGTGAGGGGGTGGGCCAGGAGTATGGGGCAGGACAGTGTGACACCCACGGAGGTATTAAACCCTAGCCTAGGCGGCCTTTGGTGTTGGGCCAGGCGCGTTCATGTGGCAGATAACCGCCACTATCTGGGATGTGGCCCAGTGAGAGCCGGGCCAAGTCCCTGCCAAGTCATTGCTTGCGCTTCCTGGCCCACTGTACCTTTCTCACTACTCCTCTTCTGGGAAGCCCTCTTTGCTGTCGCCATTTGTGGAATCCTACCAGTTATCAACACCCAGTTCAAATGTTCCACGAAGCCGCCCTCTCTGTCCACAGAGACACTGCAGTCCTGTGGGGTCAGGCAGCATTCACCGTGTGTCCATGCAAGTGGGGAGTGTTCTAATCCAGGCTTCCCAGAACAGTGCCTAGTACACGGCCCGTGCTCCACGCTGGGATCGTTGTTTATTGTGAGTTCCCTACAAAATGACAGATGTGGGGTAGGGCTCTTTATCTCATCCTTTGGAAGGAGCTCTCAGAGGACTTGGAGACAAATAATTGTGTGTGTAGACCTGGAATGTGCAATCTATTCTGAACTGGAGCTCATCTAACCCTGCAATGTGTTGACTGCAATGTCAAATGTGGAGCAACAATAATCTTGTGCATGCTACATTAACAATTCACTTAGAAATCCGGCAGACGTCTCTGACTTTGCATGTTTTCAGTCTTCAATTAATGCTGTAGCCACTAAGGTCTGCAACTGTGGCCACGCCGAGGTATCACTTAACATTTTGCTCCAATCTGTTCAGAGTTTAAAGGTGCGTTATTATTGATTAGCCACATGGGGGCATGTAGCCCTAATTTTTACTGATGTTGAGGCTATACACCCTAACCATTAGAAATACCCTAGATACCATATTAATCATATTTAGTAAACTTAGGAAAACTAAAGAATGTTCCCAACATATTTCATGTGGACTGTCACACATGAACAAAGCATGTTTATTTTTTAATAGTTGATTGTGCAGAAATGTGCCCTGACAGTAATTTTTTAATCCTGGTGGCACATCACAACCACGTGGGGGGACTTTTAAGAATCCCACCAACAATGTTGCACCCCACCCATCTGAAGGTCACACAAGAGGGAAGAATATCAGCATTTTTAAAAACTCCTCAGGTTGAGACCCACTGATCTCTGGATTAGTGGAGCTTGAAGGTTACATGAAACACCTGGCCATCCCTGATATTTGAAATACAGTAGGTGACGCTGGGGAGTTAATGGTCACTTTATCAGAAAGTAAACAAAAGTTGAAAAATAGAGAGCAGTTTAAGTTAATTAACTAAGGAGCCAGCATGTCCTTAATTTGTGTCCCTGTTGGTGCTGCACAGACTCCCCGGAGTAACTAAACTGGCTCCAGCTACATGTTTTCAGAGAGCATCAAAGCGACTGAGAGCGCCATTCTTGTCTTCTAGCCAGATGTCTTGTGTCACCATGCCGGTGCGTGCATGGCAACCTTTCAAATGCCAGAGCAGTTCGAGACCAGCTCCTTCTGCTCTCTGCCCACTTCCCTATTAGCGAGCTGAGGCTGTGTTCGATTTTAAATTCCTGACCATATATACCATTACAAACGGTGGAAAATGCAAGGTTGGAAAAAAATCAAAAAACAGAAACCAGGAGCAGGGAAAGTGGATTTTAGATCACGTGTACTTACTATACTCAATAATCATCTCTTCATCAAACAAAAAAAAGACCATGATAAAATATCAGGCTTGTTAATTAGTCCCAAACAGATGAAGCTGCTGAGCATCTCTGATGGTTCAGATGCGAGACTCGTCGGGCCCCTAACTATTCTTACTGCTGAGCTGAAAATCTGGATTTATTTATCTTTTACATATGGTAAGGAAAGTTCTCTATTCAGGCATGGAAGCTGGGCATATCTTCAAGTCTCGGCACTCAGATAGAGGACCTCCTCAGTGGCCCATCGCTTGAGCTGTGACTTTAACATTCAGGGCATACAATATACTTGTCCTTTCTCATAATTTTAATTACATGTATGAACTACTTCTCTTAGTCCCCACCCCCTAATGTCCTTGGTTACTGTCATTGGAATGTTTTTCATAGTAAAATACTAAAAACAAACACTAGTCCTCTGTGCATATGCAGTGAGTTCAACAGAGACTAGTTACTGAAAATTAAATACTGAGAAATTCTTTTATAATACCTCTGCTGGTGTTGGGGGAGTGTGATACAATAGACAGTGGTGGTGTTTTGGTTTTTTTTTTAAAAAATGTAGCTATTATATAAGGGGAGGGGGAGGAAGAACAGAATTTTCAGCCTAGGCTGATCTGTGCAGTGAGCTTGAGTTATGAGAAAGCTCAGTGGTATAACCACCCAAGGGTTCTTACTGATTCAATGGAAAGACATTGCTCATTGAAGTCACTGTAAACAGGAACAAACTGTCAGTATGGCAGCCCAGAGGGGTGATGTCCTGTTTTCATTAATTAGATGCTCTGTAGCCTGAAGCAAATGGCCTCTCTCTGGACTTCACAGCTTCATCTGGCAATGAAAACATTCTCGCCTGAATGTCAACCAGGAACCTAAGAAGTTCAGCTGCAGAGCTCAGACCCTTGATGCCAAGGAGTCAGAATTTCCCGAATCGTGTTTTTCAGGATACCATCCTCTGTGAGATGTTCATAGGTGTTTCTTGAGAACATAATCTTGGGAATTCAGGTTTAATCAAAATTAACGTTTTTAAAAATGGCAATCTAAGAGCTTTTAATGCACTTGCACCATGAATCCTTAAGAGGGTGCAGAAACTAGTTCTTCCCCAAGTATCTGAATGTAGCAGCTTCTAAAGAAAGAAAAGGCTTATCAGCACCTCCCAAGGCCCTGGAGTTCTGCAGAACACAGTGTGGGGAGATGCTGTTATAAAGGGTTGAGATAAAATAGGTCTGTAAATGAAAGTCATGCTGGAAAAGGTGCAAAAAAAGTTGTGAATATATGTCCTTTATGATTGCTCAGGTTTTTTTACTGCATTCTTTGTCATAAAGTCACACTGGTCATCACTTAAACAAAATTCTTGATTTCTTATACTTGATCTCCTGTACTGAAACATTGTGTCATTGTGTGGGTTTGGGTTTGAAAATTTTTTTAAGGAGGACAATTAATTTCTTAGGGCACTAAACAGGAATGTGGGCCCAGGACTGACTTAGCATAACAGACCACGAAGATGCAATGTGGCCTCCTGCGCCCAGTCGTTTGGCTAGGCTCCTCTCTGCATCCACATGGTCTCCGCAGGAGGCAGGAGGTGAGGACGCCCCACCTAGGCCCACCCACCTGGGCACTGCACTCTGGGGTTGGAGCCATCTCTCGGGTACCACACAGCAGGGTGACTGTATAGGGCTCACTGTAGTGGGACCTCAAGAGGGATGCGGTTGGAGAACCTAGGAATTCCTGCAACTTGGAGAGGCCTCCTGAGACCAAAGAATGAGTCAAATCAGCATATAGAATCTCATGCTCATGTCTAAATTCCATTCAGAGTCTCTGGTCTGTGCTGGTTAAGGCCGGGTCTCTGGGCAGACCACTGCACCCCACCAGGTGGGCACTACTCATGGGCAGGGCCAGGTCCTATTATTTGGAGATCCTGACCATCTAATCCTACTCTGACACTCGGCAGTAAGCATTTGTTGTTGTTTCTGATGGTCACGCTCTAGACTGGGCTACTCAAGGCTGCCCTTCCTGCCCACGTAAATGGGATTTAACCCGACTATAAATGTGAGGAAGAGACAGTGGACTTGCCAGGATTAGTAGCTCACAGCCCATGCGCTTGCTGGCTTGGAGCATAGCTGGAAATCCAGCTCCAAAAGGAGAGTAAGAAAGCTGCTTTCTTGCTGCTAATTCTCAAGTTGACCCACACATCGATCAGTGGCTAAAAGTCTGCACCTCAATAGGATTCTTTCTTTCAACAAAGGAAAATCTAAGCGGTAACTTCTCCACCATGGGACAAAAGTGAAGTGATTGGAGCTGTGAATTTTACCAAAAAAGCAGCCTGCAAGCATTTTCCCTCAACTCTTAAGCCAAAGAACTGTTTGCCCCTGCTCTAAGCACCTCTGGGCATGCAGGCCCCACATGCGTGAGGCTTTAACACGTGTCACCAAGCCCTGTGATTCATTCATCATTTCAGATTGCCCAATCCTGAGCTGGCGCCAAACAGATATTTTGCATTTACTTCTAATACATGGGGGCTTCCTCACGACTCAGCCCGGTTGTTCCTCAGAATTTTGCTTTGTAGTTTTTCCCGTGTGAGGCAGCTGGTGCCCAGCTGTTTGCTGCCCTTGGCTGATGGTAGGTGCCTTCCACCCCTTTCTGAATCTCAGGTTATACTTGAGAACCTATCTCCTGAGTCCCAGAGAGTCTGGCCTTTTCACCTCCCTGCATTTCTTGGTACACGTTCTTTGCCCCAGGAGCCCCCCACCCCCACCCCCACCCCCACCCGGAGGCGGCTGGAGCCCGGCTAGCCTCTGTTGATGGACAGCATTTCTGCCACTTTCCTCTCCCAAGGAAGAGTTGAGCCCTGAGCTCGGAAGAGTTCAGCAGCTTCCTGGTCTACAAGTGTTGGATACAAGTGCACAAGGTGGGGGGCCCTTCCACCCCCATAACTTAAATAAAGAAGTAACCCAGCATTCATGCTAATCACATCCCTGAGTAATCAGGCACCTCAGTGGAATCTGGTTGCTATAATGTACAACAGCTTCTCAAACTCAGTGAAGGGATACCAGCTTTAAAAATTTTTCCACTCATTGTGGACTATCTTTGCAAATACAATAAAAATGAATTATTAGAAAAGTGAGACAAATACAAGCATAAATCCTGGGGTTAGATAAAATTTCTCTATCAAATTGGTATAAACCTTTCTAAACACTCTCAAGTTCTGTTTTTATCCAATCATGAACCAAATAAATAGTTCACAGGCAGGCACCGTTTGAAGAGCACCAATGCAGACTGTTCCCTTACATGGGAATGTTTCATATTTATATTCAGCCCATTTTCTTTGAAAGAACACAGTGTTTCTGGCTTCTTCTCTGCTCACCCCAGTCTGGGATAAGCATGTAACTAACTACGGATTTACCCACCAGTACACCACCACTGGGTAGACAGTGTCCTCAAATACACGCCAGCTCACAGCCCTTGCTGCTAAGGTGCTGCTCTCCGGTTCTCTCTAGAAGGGGCTTGGCATGACATCCTATCTCTAACCCAGATCCACCTACCACTTGTATAGATGTTCCTCCCCACTCACTGCTCTTGGAGGAACCCTCTTGAGCCTCCAAGTGCCTGCCTGTCTGCTTACCTACCTATCTCACTAGGGGGCCAATTTCATGTGCACCACTCACCAGTGTCGCTGGGGTATTTGTCTCCCTTTGTGCATGTTTGCCCGTCGTCCTCCTGGACGTAGCCCTCTCGGCATTCACAGCGGTAGCTGCCTAAGGTGTTGATGCAGATGTGAGCACACAGCGTCTCGTTGCTGGTAGCACACTCGTCGATATCTGCATTTGAACCAAATGCAGTGAATGCTCAGTTCCAGGGAATTACACTTCCGACACACCGGTGACCTTACGCTTGGCCTATCTGTAAATGTCTGCAAAGGACCCTTTGCCAGACCTCTACCAGAGAAGCCTGGAGTTGAGGGGGACACCAGGAATGTGAGCCCTGCTGGACAGGAGCGCTTTAGGCCATGTCGCCAGGCTTACAAACTGATCAGTGAATGAGGTTCCTGGCTGTGGCTCTGCCACTGCCAAGTCATGTGGCGTGGTGCAGGTACTGCTAGCCTTCAAAGTTGTCCCCTACAAAACATGGTAATGAAGCCTGTCCTACATATTGCACAGGGCTCCTTAGGGAGGAGGAAATGAGGAAACTGATGCCAACATGCTTTGAAAAGCAAGCATCCCAGAAATGATCTGCAAGGCCCCTAGTGTGCTGAGGGCTTTTATATTCCCCGTTATTAGACTAGGTTCCAAACAGCACGATGGTGTCCCAGTCACTTAGAAAAGGCTCCTTCCCAGTTAAGAGATGTGATGGTACCTGGGAAAATCAAGTTCTGATAAAAGAAAATAGTCATAATGGGTCTGAGAGTTTTCTCCAGGTTTCAGCTCCATTAGTGACCCAGACAGCCCCCCATGAGCTATGGCAATGAGCTAGGAGGCCACCAAACAAGAAACCAGAAAGAGTCCAGGTGAACCACGCACATCATGGGCTTGCTCCCCCACTGTATGTGGTAGAAACAGAACTATTCCGTACTGGGGGAGGGGAGGAAGGCCCGAATCTGTTCCCATTCAATGGCTGATCACACTGAGGGGTGATGGGCAGGACAGAGCCCCAGGCTATGCACACGTGGGAGGCAGGCAGAGCCCATCCCTGCGCCCCAGGACGCTGTCAGAGTCACTACCTGGACAAGCTGCCCGGGACCCACCTCCTGCAGGCCCCCGTGTGTGCCGAGGGGAGTGTGGTCATTTGGCTGTTCCCCTGGCAGTGTGGACTATGCCATCTGTGAACTAAAAAACGTCGCAGCTGGATCCTCCTCCGTAATTCCTCAGGTGACCTCCCTCCTCCACGTGCCCCTGCCGAAATCTAGATGGGAAGATGCCTCTACCGTCCAGAGCAGGGAAGACAGGTTGAAAGGGCAGAGAGAAATACACAGATGGAACTCTGAGCAGAATGCTAATTTTGCTAAGCCCAGATGGGCAGAACCGAGTACCTACTATAGCTGCCACACACAGAAATAAGAGCTCTGTGCCGGGACCTCAGGGGTACAGGATGGCGCACCATGTTCTCTGTCGGAGAAGCTGGGGTCTCTACTCCATTCCCTTGGTGCTCTCAATGCCATTCTTTGTCAGAGTGGGGCACCAGGGGAGAAGCCCTTAAATGGTGCTCTCTAGAGCCTGTGCTGTGGCAGAGGAGGGGGACACTCATCACTGCCCATTTACTTTCCACTTGGGGCCATCTGCCAGTCTCTGTTCACCCTCTGGCTGATTCTCAAACCTGACTGTGTGTGTGAATCACTGGAGGCATTTGTATAAATGCAGATTTTTGGACCTATTCTCAGGAGGGAGGCCAGGAGGTTTTTAAGAACTCTGGTGTTTCTGGGACAGGTTAGCCACGTACAGACCACACTTTGAGGCACATGCTGGGGGGGTGGGGGGGTGGACAAATGCCATAAATGCCTGGAAGGCCCAGGCAGTGAAGGGAAGGCAGTGAGCAGGTGGTGAACGGTGCTGAGGGCAGATGCTGGCTTCCCTCCGTCTCGTCTGACTCATTTCCAACCTGTTGCCCCATCGACAGGTCCTCTTCCAAGAGAATGCTATTCTTGCTTCATTCTTTCTGGTTTTGACTTTTTTGCCCACTTAAATCCTTATTTCCATTATTCTAGTTTACATTTGATAATGATGCCTTCTCCTGCTCTTTTATCTCACTGCCCATTAGAATCTGACTGAGAATTCCTTGGCTATAGTTTAATAATCATGGTGAAAGGTGGTGACCCCTCAGATAATGCCAACACAACTCCACCCAGCAAGTCTCAGGACAGAAGGGAGGAATCCAAGATCAAAGCAGCTCCCGTGAGCTGGTCCCACTGAGACAGCACGTCCAACAAAGGAAAGAATCATCTGAACGAGGCACATGGGGAAATGGTGCGTAATGTCAACACACCCAGGCAGTAGGGCTTCTCCCGCTTCCGGTGTCTCTCCCGGTCATACCGGAATCCTGGGTAACAGGTACACAGCACTCGGCCGAAGTTATCTGTGCACTGCTGTTCGCAGGGAGCCTCGGCACACACATCGTAGTCTGGAAAAGCAAAGCGTGAGCTCACATCAACCACAGACCTTCCCTAGGTGGAGGCGGCATCCCAGCCCTGGACTGGAACAGGCCTTCTGGGCTGTACTCTGCATCAGGGGAACTGCGACCAGCTACTTTACAGGGGGTATTAACTCCTCTGGCCACGGGGAGTCCTCTACGGTGCCGCACTGGGAACTCAGTGCTCAGCACGGCAGTGGTTAAAAGCAAACATCACTTGTGATTTTCCCCCAGGTCACCTCTCCTTTGGTCTTTGTCACTCATCCAGAGAGCAAAGATGCTCCATATGGCCAGGCTCTGCAGCATGACTGGGGGCCTAGTTTGTCTTTTTCACTAACTGCGGCACAGACAGGGAATTCCTTTCAGCTGAACACTGAAGAACAGCCAGCCCTGATGACCAGCACTGGTGTCTGTACGTCAGAGCAGGGGCTGGAAGTCAGCAGGCTCCGAGGAGTGGGGTGTGAGGGGACCTGAGGGCGGCGATGGTGTGAGCCATCACAGGGCTGGTGCCTGCGTGGTAGTGCAGATACGCTCCCGGGGTCTGACTCTGCATGCTGGGAAGGGGTTGGGTGAGGTCGAATGGCTAGAGCTCACATTCCATCCCTGAGCCTGTGCAAACTGGGGTGGATGCCCTATTATAAAGAATTGGAGCATCTCCTCCTCTCATTCTTTACAAACTGATATGTAATGAGGCTCTGAAGGGACTTTGGCTCTAAGTCAGGAGCTCAGGCTGAACACTTGCTTCCAGACTAGGTCCAGCATCTCATTAATCACTGCACTGTCTTCCCCAGGTGCTGACAGATAAACTATCCCTGGACACCGAGTGAACCTGGCTTTGCTCTGCCGCATATGGAGGTGGAATGGGTGGGCTGGCAGCCTCTGAGGTGGGCAGGGTCAGTGTGATGAGGATCATGTCATTCTCATGATAACCTGGCAAGTTGCCCTTGCTAAATCTCTCTCCCTACAACTGTGATTCAAGGCCTGCTTTGTCTGTGTGTCTCTGGTCACACGTGGTCTTCTCAACTAATGCTCCATACTTCTTGCTCCTGTGTTCTGCCGTATTTGTTGAAGACCCGCTCTGTACCGGACACACACTGTCATCTGGAAAAGCAAAGTGTGAGCTCGCACCAACCACAGCCCTTCCCTAGCTGGAGGCGGGGTCCCGGTGCTGGACTGGAGCAGGTCTTCTGGGCCGTCCTCTGCGCGCAGGGCACTGTGACCCCCTGCTCCAGCAGGCAGGCGGCCCTGTGAGGAAGAGTCCAGGCTCTGCAGCCAGCCCTCCCAATCCTGCCAGGCATTCTGTGATCGTGGGTTCCTTAAGCCTCAGTTTCCTTACCTATAAAACAGGGATAACAGTAACAGCTATTTCAAGGCGCTTTTATGAAGATTAAACTGTTGGATGATGCATTAAGCACAGTGCCCGACACACGGTAAAAGCTCTTCCCGCTCTTCTGCTTCTTTTAATTGCTCGTTCTTACGATCGGGTACCTCGCAGGCATTGTGACCGACGCTACTCTCTTCCTACAGTTTATGCTCAATGAATAACTGTAGAACTAGAACAAATCAGACCATCCTATCACCTGGCCGACCAAGATAATACGGCAGAGGGTGGCGAAATATTTCTGGTTGACTAGATAACATTTTGGCTTTTCAGGCCTTTGTTGCAACTATTCAACTCTGTTTGTTGTAGGGCAAGAACAGGCCATAGATAATACTTAAGTGAATGAGTATGGCTGTGTTCCAATAAAACTTTATTTATAAAAATAGTCAGTGGGCCACATTTGGCCCACAGGCCATAGGTTGTTGACTCTTGACTTAGAGCAACAAATAGGAGGAAACAACACTCTTTTCAATTGCAGCTTCTACTCATTAGTCAGCATATTTGTTTAGAAATTCAAGTCTCTTTTAGTACCTGTGATGGTTAATTTTGTGTGTCAACTTGGCCAGGCCACAGTACCCAGATATTTGGTCAATATTATTCTAGATGTTCCTGGGAGATATTTTTTAGACAAGATGAACATTTAAGTGGGTAGACTCTGAGTAAAGTAGAATATCCTCCATAAAGTCGGTGGGCCCAACAATCAGTTGAAGGCCTTACTAAAAAAAAGACCTTCCTGGATGAAGAGGGGATTCAGGCAGGAGATAACCTTTGGACTCAAACTGTAACTCTCTCCTGGAGGATTTTGGGTTTGCCAGCCTTAACAATCTTGTCCACCAGTTCCTTAAAATGATTCTCTTTCTCTGGGTCTCTGGAGAATCCAACCGAATACACCATCTTTTTGGAAATTCTACACTTCTACTTTGCATTCTTGGATAATGGAAACCTTTATGACTACAGATCTCTTTAGTCAAAAACTAACAAACACTGACTCATTTCCACAGAATCAAACAAATCAAGTTTAAAAAGTGTTCCAGTGAAAGTGACAGAGCAGAGGGTCAGTTATGGCAAAGCAACATTCAGAGCTTGAGACAACTTCCTGGAAATACTCAGTTCTAGGTCACATTAATCATGAGGCTGCAGCCTGACTTTAGGATGAGGGAGGGGAGTTTTGGGCCTAGATGTTTGAAACCACATTATCTAACATTTAAAGAAACTCAAAGTATGTGGTATTCAGGTAATGTATTTTTAATTAGGTTGGGCAAGGTCTTTAGCTGGCACCTTAAACTGATTGCCCTGAATGTAATTCTCTTTCAGTATCTGTCAAATTGAAATATAAAGGACACAGCTGACTGATAAAAGTTGGCTTATAAGAGAATGCGATTATTTTGACCTCTTGGCTTTTCCACCACGTTCTAACCAAGAGAATTGGCTGGGAGGGAAAAATTTTGCCTGAGAAAGACCCAAGCCCACATAAAACCATCACGTGTGAAGTGATTTCCTAACAACCTTCCTGAAGCAGTCTCCTCAGAGATCACAGCTATGGTTTAAGAGTCTCATGCTCTACCGACTGAGCTAGCAGGGCGACCACTCACAGCTATGGTTTAATAAAACTTCTCCCATCCTTCTGCCAAAGAGAGCAATAAACAGGAGCGATTCATTTACATCTAACTGACAAATGGCTCCTTTGAGATAATGCGACATGGATTAGCTTGGCTGGGCTCCAGGTCCTCTACAGAGACCTGGCTTCTTGGGCAACAGTGAAGAAAACTCTCTCATGTTACCCACCCACCTCTCGCCAGCCCTGGGCAAACACACCTCATCTCTTCAAACAGTTCGCAGTGTCTTCTGCGTCAGTGCTGGAACTGTCTGCTTCTCTCTTCCTCCTACTTATCCAAGTGCGGGGCAGCCTTCCTTGATAACCTAGCTCAAGGATCCCCTCCTCCTTGAGAGCATGTCTGCCCACCCTGGTCCCCTGTGATCTGTGCTTTCCCGAACGCTTGCTGTACCGAATGCCTCTCCTGCACATACTGCAGTTACTAGCAATCACAATGGCAGCAAGAACATAGCCATCATTTACCAAGCACTTAATAAGAGTCAGCCTTATTACGGTAGTTTTAAGAACATTGCCACAGGTAAAAACCAATAACTGAAAAGAATTGTATTTTTAACCTAACATATTACACTTGTGTTTTGTTTTTTACATGTAGGAAAAAGTGCTGCAAAGGTTATAAATTTGTTTTACATGTAGCAATGTTCTTAAAACCACCATGAGTCAAGCACCAATCCTTCCCTGCAAAAACTGAGGTTTAGCAAGTAAGTTGCTCAAGGTCATAGGTAGCAGGATGTGTTCTATGAGCTGAATGTTTGTGTCCTGAAATTCGTATTTGAAAATCTAACCCCCAGTGTGATGGTATTAGGAGGTGGGGCATTTGGGAGATGATCAGATCATGAGAGTACAGTCCCCATGAATGGGATCACTGTTAATAAATTGAGACCCCAGAGAGCTCCCTCACCTTCTCTGCTATGCAAGGACATGTAAGACAATGGCTGCCTAGGAACCAGGAAACCCTCATGAAATACCGAATTTTCCAGCGCCTTGGTCTGGGACTTCTCAGCCTGCAGAACTATGAGAAATAAATGTGTGTTGTTTAAGCCACCCAGTCTAAGGCTTTTTGTTACAGCAGTCCAAATGGACTAAGATGATGTGGAAGCATGATTAAAATCCAGGTCTCTGATTCTGTGATGTCTGCATCCTGTCTCCCAGTTTGATGGTGTGATGCGAGTCTTGGGAGCTGGGCCCATGTCTTGCATTGCTCTGTCTCTTCAGTGATGGGTTGAGCACAGTGTTTGCTGATGGTCATGTGAAGGGGCTTCAAGTTTAGCACACGAAAATCAGGTAGAGGGGCTGGGACAGTTGTGTTCTGTGTATGAAATGCTGGTCAGGGAACTCTACAGCCTGTTCACCACAAAACTTGAAACATAGAATTACTCAGTACATGTGTATATGCTGTGCAATGATTTAGCTAGAGCATGTTACATGTATAACCAAACTGGCATTAGAAGAATTTAATGCCCAAACAAATAGAAGTTACACACATACACACAGACAACCCACATCCATTCCACATATATCTTAACTTTAGAGATATCTGATGATTAGTCCTGAATGAGGTGAGAAGACAATCTTTTAATATTACATACCTTCTGGGATGCATTGTCCAAGAACAAATTTATAACCTTTGCAGCACTTTTTCCTAAGAAACAAAGAAACAAAACACAAGTGTAATATGTTAGGTTAAAAATACAATTCTTTTCAGTTATTGGTTTTGAATGAAATAACTTATGCCCAGGAAAAACCAAGACATAGAGGAAAGTAGGAGTGCAGTAATTTTAAAAGAATCTGAGATAAAAAGGAAGTATCAATACCACATGACATCTTCCAATGTGCCCTTTTGCCACATTAACCCTTTGAATTCTATGAAATGAATTAACACAGAGGCTTCAAGATGCTTATGTTAGATGATTAGAGGTCTGCAGGATATAAGTATGAAAAGGACCTTTTAGGCTGGCCAGACCCCTTACCCTATAGGCCAAGGATTCACATGGCTTGCTAATTATAACAATTATCTAAGAGTAATAACAACTGGGCAAGTATAACATAATGATGTTAATTCTAATATAATAACAAGTAAGGCAGTTTATTACTATCCAGACTGGGATTGGGACCCACCCATTCTGGCTCCCATTCCAATGCTTCTTTTATACCTACACCATGTAAGGTACTCAAAGGGACCTAGATTATCTGAATTTTAAAAACAGCAAACAGGAAATTCTTAACATAAATACCCAAGCCTTGTATATTTGCCTGAGGTAGGGAAATGGTACCACTGTTCAAAAATGTAAATCTCCACTGGAAAGAGTACGTCTCTAGTATGGAGTTGTAAACTCTTAACAGATCACCCCCCTGCAGATACAACTATAAGTTACAGACAAAATGGAAGCAAACAACTACTACGAAGGTTCTGTAGAGTAAATGAAAACTGGCAGGTTTAGGAGGGGAGCTGAAATTTTGAACAAGGGATATATATTTGAACCTTTGAATAAGGGTAAGGTTCCTGCTTTTTAAGGCTTTGGCCTGAGCTCCGACCACAGTTGCCATGCAGTGTGGGAACCTAAAACTCAGAGAAAATCTGCAGTATTTTTTTGCCAGATGAAACAGAGGACAAAGCCTAGGCAATCAGAGTCAAGAGAAACTGAGGAGGAATTCTGTGAGTCCCAAATACATTTCACCAAGTCTCTGGTAAACCCTAACCCAAGACTGTGAGGAACAGACCTGAAACACCCCAACTAAAAACAACAGGGGCTGGACAAGGGTTTGAGCCACTGGCTCCTGCACGCCAGTTTTTGTCATCAAACCAAGTTACTTGCCTGCTAACAGAAAAAGAGTGACACTCTTTGGATAAACAGATCGGGATCCAGGGTCTCCACAACATAACATGTACAAATATTTACAAGGGAAAAACAGTCAATGGTGCCAACTCCAAGGCAATCCAGATGTTGGAATTATCAGACACAAACTTTAAAGGAGCTATGACGATTATGTTCAGTAATATAAAGGAAAAAAGACTTGTACTGAGTATAAACGTAGGAAATCTTAGCAGAGACATAGAAACTATGAAAAGTACAGAATGGAAATTCAAGAACTGGAAAAAACATCTGAAATTTTTTAAAACCTCACTGGATGGGTTTAACAGAAGAATGGAAATATGGTGTGGGAAAGAATTAGTAAATTTGAAGATACATGTGAAGGAATTATCCCACTTGATGAAGAGAGAAAAACAAAGATTTAAAAATGCACCAAACCTTGAGGACAGGTAGGACTATCTCAAGAGGTCTAATGTATGCTATTTGGAGTTTCAAAAGGAGAGAAGACAGAGAATAGGGCAGAAAAAAAATGTTTGAAAAAATAGCAGAAATGCCCCCAAAATTTAGTGAAAGACACAAATTTACAGACTAAAATAGTTTAGTGAACCCCAAATAGTTTACACACACACACATACAAAAAAACCTTTAGAGATATCCTAGTCATACTGCTGAAAACTAAAGAGAAAATCTTGAAAGCAGAGAAAATTACCCATTTTATACAAGGACAGGATGATATGAATGACCATGCACTTTTCATATAAAACTATGCTAACCACAAACAATGTATGACATTGACAAAGTATGACATCTTCCAAGTGCTGAGAAAACAAATATGTCAACCCAGAATCCTATACCCAGTGAAAATATTCCTTTAAGAATGAAGCTGAAATAAAGACATTTCATATAAAAGAAAACTAAGAATTCATTGTCAGCTTACCTGCACTATGAGAAATGCTAAAGGGAGTTAGTTCTTCAGGCTGAAGGGACATGGTACTAGAAGGAAACCTGAATCTTGAAGGAATGAAGAGCTAAGTATCTCAGTATGTATAAAATTCTATTTTTCTTCATTCTTAAAGGCAAAACCCATACACCATTGTTTTGTAGGATTCATAATGCATGTAGATGCAATAAATATAACAACTGTGGAGTAAAAAATGACCAAAGAGTAAATGGACCTCTATAATTACAAAGTTTCTACCCTGTGTGTTTTCTTTCCCAGCTGGTTTCCTTGTAAGGTTCCCTTTACCACTTCCAATATCAGTATGTTATTCAGAGGCCAAGAATTAACCATGGTCCAGGTAATCTGCAAATATCAGGAATGTACCCCAAGATATTTTGAGTCAATTAAATGGTTAAACAACCATGTAAAATAACTGTTGTTTTGTAACCATTCAAGATTATTCTTATCACAAAATCACTCTCATTCATTTGCATGTGGATATGCTTTCTAGCTGAGAGAGAAACGGAGTAAGTTAAATATGGTCCACCAGCTGGGAACTGCTCATTCCCTGCAGCCTAGCATGTCACATGTGTGAACACATCATCTATGTAGTGGATACACAAACCACGGACTTGGGGAATTGGGCATTATCTGTTTCCTAAAGCAAGTTTCCACCTTCAGCAAATGGTCAGAACCTTTAACCAGGTTAGACACAGCCTTTCGTCTAAGTAGAATTTGATACACTTAAATATTATTTTTTATCACATTTTAGTACAAACATATTTAACAGCATTACTTTCTACTTTTGCAAATTAGTATAATCTATGATATTATTGGTCAAATCAATTTTGTGGACTGTTCTTCTAGGCAGATTACCACTCACAGGAAAAACTTCAGAATTTCTTCCTAAAACTCAAAATTTCTAAAAATTTGATTCAATCCATCATTTATAAACCTTACGTAAAATATTAAGAGTGTATGCAACTTATATACATCCCATCTGGTAAGAGCACATTCTGAGTACAGCAGTACTGCCTCATTCCTCCCACGATACTTCTCACGTGCAGTACAACTGCAGCGATAATCTCACTTCAAAAGCAAAATGAATAGGCTCCCATGATTAAAACAGTGGCATTTGGGATGCCCCCCAAACAGACTTGAGTGAAAAGGGATCCCCCTACTCCACAACAGACACATTTGGTTACTTGCACTTATCCACTCAATATAGATTATTCTGAACCTTTCAACATATTTTACTAGGAGATATGTATCTATATATCATATATATGTATGATATATACATTACATACGTACATATGTAATTTACTGATGTGAATAATGTGTGGCAATGTCCAGAATTTCCCTATTAGATATAACTTCCCAACATCTCCAACTGAATTATAATTTTACACAACAAGAGAAGCCCATGGGATATACATTTACGATGATCATTTCTAACAGAGACAGAGGATCTACCTCTAACATTCCATGAAACCTGAGCCATAAAAAACTAGACAGTTTAAGAAAGTCCAAGTTCCCAACAACCAAAGAGAAAACTAGCTTAATAGAGTATTCATTAAAATTTTATGGCTATCACTTACTGTATTACTTGAGGTCCTACATAGAAAATAAGAGGAAAAGTAGTACCACAGATGATCCAAAACTCTAGTGATTCATGAGCAAGTTGGATGGAGGGTCAAAACATGTGTTTTTGATATATCTCAAGTGTAGCTCCACACTGAAACATATGGTTCTATTTGTTTCTATTTAAATGGCTCATCTATGGTATAGCCAGTGAGATGTTTAATGGCATTTTAAAGTTCCGGCAAATGGATGCAATCTTTACAATTTCTCTTTCCACATCCAAGACATTAAGCTTCGGCATTCTAAACTTTTGAGCATTTCAAGGGCTTGAGACTGTCCATATAGCAGAGCTAAAAGCAACGTGTCATTTGCCCTTTCATGAAATTAAATGATAACATATTGATTAGATATGCTTTCAAAAGATACGCTTTGACAACAGCTCTGTCCAAAGATGATCTGAGCTTCAGGATGGGCATGCTTCATTAAAATACCTTCTTAGCTGAGAATTAACTTCCTCTGGGCTGTTTTTTCTTAATTATGTAACTGTCACTATCTCTCTGCTGAAGGGAAGGAGGTCTTGAGATTCCACCGCGCCCTGCTTTCCCAGAGCCCCTGGGAAGACGGCATTATTTTACATGTCGGACACCCATCCACCATAAACCGCCATTTAAAATAAACAATAAAATATCCCAAAGTATAAAAAAAATACACACTGGCTGCACATGCTATACAGTAAGATGACTTACAACATAATTTACACATGATGAAGTCAGCCAGCCAAAGTGAAATCCCCTCCTTGTTCACAAGCACAGGCGCTTGTTAGATCTGACTACAAGCATGGCTGTGTGGCTTTTATCTGTAAGAAAAACAAACTGAGATGGGGAAAGCTCGTGTGGTTCCTGGGGAGACCATGCTTCTTAATACACTTCATGTGTCATAGCTTGGTTTTCCAAAGGCAAATGCTTTTCTCATTTCTTGGCAAGGGGACGTTGGGATTAGAACGGTTGTTGTGTAGAAAGGGCAACATCTGGTAATGAGGCAAGTCTGTGGAGGTTTCCCCTGGGTGCCCCTGAGTATTAACACACATTTAAAAAAAGCCATTAATGAACACAGTGCAGTCAGAAACATATCCCATCAACCAAGAGTATGTGAGCTTTTGGAAGGAAAAACTAGACCAGGAAAATGAAGATAGCAGAGGGACCACCATCTGACTGCCTGCTGTTAGTTATCAGGTTCTAGAAAAGAATTAGCAAAGAAAAACCACCTACAGAAGAGTAAAGGACTAGAAGGGACCCTGAAAGGTCA